GAAGGCAATTATTCAAATATCAATTATCATTAACAATTGTGTTTTTTAATTTTTATTCAAATATGTAAACATTAACATGGTAACAATGGCAAGTTGTTATGTGTTCCCATGATAAGGATCAACAGGATGATGAGATATCGGCTAACTGCTTTCCATTCATTCTGTGTTTATTATGTTTCATTATCTTGATGATTACCGTTCATGTTGTGGTTTGTTGATTAACAATTAAAGTAAACCTTTTTTTATCTTGTTATAATGTTGAGTTTCAATTGATAGTTGATCAGGGTTGGGCCAAGCTTTGCTCATCCGAATCATTTCTGTTTCTGTTTCGCTCTTTGTTTTCAACTTTACATTCAACTGTTCAGGTCAAGGGACTTTAATGTTGACTTCATTTTACTTTTTCTTACAGAGATAAATGTTATAGATATAAGAACTGAATTAAATAGATTCAACAATTATTCAAATGAATTTGGTACAATTGGATACAATTGAACTGAAAGACTGGTAATTTAGGCCAATTTAGATGCAACTCATTCCAGTGAAGAGAACAAGTAAAGAATTGCAATTTATCATATTGAAATATTAAATTATCAACCAATTAATGCAATTTACATTTTTCTGTTTCTTTTTATTGCTTCAAGTTATCATTGAAATGCAAATTATATTTAAATGTTTCCTTTCATTTCATTCATTACATGGTAAAGTCCACAACTTTGATAAACTTAAAAATAAACCAAATGTTTTTCTTCGGATAAGAAATGTTAGTTTCACGAAAAAAACTGATGTTGAATTAAGGCAAAATTTATCCATTGGTTTATGTCGATCTTGTAATAAGAAGTCAAAATAATCCGACAATCAACTTTGAATTCAGCTATTTATCATCAAGAACGAGTCTTGATTCATCGAGATGATGGAATATGAATTCTTGATCGGAAAAGATGATTTGACTTTATGATGTTAATCGATAGATTTTAGTGAAAACTGACCGTTAAGAAAGTAAATTATGTTGACTAAATTGGCTCGATCGGATAAACTTTAATTGAGCGAAAGTCGATTAGAACCAAATCAAGTTAAGTCATTAAAGGCTAAAGTTTGATGAACATGCTATTAACGGTAAACCATTGACTCGCTATCTAACTTGAAGTTTTCTGAACCTCGTTTTCTTCTGCTCTTAAGTCTCAAAACCGAAATCTAACAGATAAATCGCTAGATTTCTCGCTTTTCCATTTTCGAAATGGTATCGGATGGCTCTACTGGTAAATAACAGATCTGCATGAATATCGAAGACTGATTCAAAATGTGATTGAATCGTGTCTTCATGCCAAACATCGGAACTTGAGTTTCTAATATTATTTGCCGAAGCTCGACTACAAGTACAATTAATGTTTTTTCATTTCTCCTTTTTGGATTCATTTTTTCATCGGAAACTTTGTATTTCAAACTTATAAATTGTATTACCATTCACTTTCTTCGGACAACTTTCAAATGTTGAGTGCGCTTAAAAGATGAAAATTCTGGTTTTGTAAAAGTCGAGATTTGAAGGAAAGAAAAATTGATTGAGAACATTGATTTTGAATCGATATTGACATGGAATGGAAAAATTGACTTGAATAATGATGAATAAGGAAAGTTGACTGAAGTGTAGACAGATAAACCAGAGGCTGAGAGGATGAAAGTGATAACAAAAAAGGTTTCATTTTCTTGGAGAAGTCACTCTTTTTCCTTCTAAACTTGGAATCTTTTTTCTTCTTTTATCATCTCGACACAACTTTTCTTGGAATGTGAAATATTTTCTTGCTCAGTTGATCGTCTTGATTGCCAATTGAATTTATCAGTTTACAGATAAAATTCCAAGGTTAAGAAGTTTAAATGAAAAAGTAAAATGTTTAACCAAAAAGGACAACAAAATAGGAAATGATGTGTTAATTTCCGGTAAAAAGAAACTTATCATCAGCTTTCATAGCGATCATGATGATGATAATAATAATGATGATGATATAAAAAAGAGAGCAACATTTCTCTTTCGTCCAAAGTTACTTTTTATTATTTAATGGATTCCATTTCAATTGATTCCTGATTCACTCGCCATTCCATGTTAACCAGAAAAACCAAAAGCAATAAAAAGCTATAATATAATGAATCGCAAATCATAACATCTAAACTTGGAATCGTTCATCATTCCCTCTCTTTGATTACAATAAGTTTCAGGCTAATTGACATTCATCATGATTCATTCCCTGTATATATACCTATTTAATATCCGGGAATAACATCATGTTCCATTTAACATTGGAACGTTTCTTCATGGTTCTGTGAGTTTGTGTCCAAGAAAAGGGATGAAGAGGAAAAAAGAAAGAACATGATTAACCCATAAAAATGAATGAATTGGGTCTTCACATTGTTCTGAGTTATTCTGCCAACAGAATGTGATTACATCAGAACCTATACAAAGACAGGTCATGATGGACTCAAATTATCATCATAATCATCTTCATCTATTCAACCTTTTTTTTCCTCATTTACTTCATCTTTTTCCTTCTTTGGAACCAAAGATGATCCTAAATGACCGAAAAGTCAAAAATAGGATTTAGATGAAATAATATGGCAAAAGATGATGATGATGAACCTTCTGATGGTTGATGATGTGCTTTATGATCAACCTGATGATGAGTTTGACGATGAGTTTGATGATGAACCCGAATGAGATATGAACATTGTCTAACTTATCAACTGATGAAACTTGGGTCGAAGAGAGCAAAAAGAGAGAAGAAGAAGAAAAAAGAAGAAGATGAGAAATGATGAGAAGAGACAAAATGATAGAGATTTGGATCCTATAACAATCCTATATGACAGCAACCCATGATAGTAAAAAGAATATATTTTGGGTGATAATGAGAGGAAAAAAAGTTTTTCATCTTTTTATTCTTTTCCACTTTCTTCTCTTCTCATCATTTCTCATCACTTTTCCCTCTTCATGATCATGCTCTTTCATTGTTATTCAAGAAGAAGGCAAAAAAATGAAAACTTATTTTACGCTTTTATCCTTACAATTGAAAATGAATCAATGAATAAGTATTCAGTTTAATGATAAAGATGCTGACTTGGGAAGATTCAACATTGAAATCTCTCAGCATCTTTCACCATCTTTCAGCATCTCTCTTCATCTAAAGATTGATTGAGTTTATCGATATTAACTTCTCAATTTTGCTCATCTTCCTCTCTCACTGGTTATGCTTTGACAACATCAATTTTACTCGTAATCTTCTCCTTCTCATCCTCATCTTTTCTTCATCTGTAATTGTCCTAAAGTTATCGTTCAAGAGTGAACAAGGATTTTAGGATATAACCTTATCAGCAAGCCACAGGCATCGCCATCAAACCTTTTATAGTCTAAACCAGTTACACTTTTACTTGTTTTCATTATCATCTTTTCTCATCCTTTTCATTCTCTTCCTCTTTCTCTCTCTTCTTCTCTCATCTTCTCATCTTTATTGATCATTGATCGTTTAAGTCTGTGTTTTTTGTTGTGTGTTTGGTGTAACTGTTACTCTGATAACTGATAACTTTCAATGTAAGCAAAAAATCGATGAGCGTAAATAACTTATCTCATCTTGTTAGCAATTAACATTCAAAGTCATCTTTAGCATCATTCCCATCATTTTGCATCTCAAAATGTTTCTATGGTTACATTAACTTAACAAGGTTAACATTCATTTTATCTTGTAATAATTACCAAACTTACTTTATTTATCCTTTAATCATTATTATTGAATCTTTGCGCCTTTGCTGTTTAAATTGTTCAATGGTTGAACTTGCAACTGGGAATTGTTGGTGTCAATTCAGAGTCGATTCAAGTTAAACTGTTCAACTTTAACATCAAATTGACATTCAGATTCAATCTTGTCATTTTGAATGCTAATTTTACAGATGAAAAGTAAATCCCATTTAACGTTATTCCCATTAAAACGCTTTAATAATACAAATCAATTGGTTTAATCATTAATTTATAATTTAATGATTGTTTGATAATTGCAAATGTCAACCAGAATAAGCACAATCATTGAGAAATGATTCAATTTCAATTAGTCACAATTAGTCACAGTTTTAACATTTGAAATATTATTTTTATAATACATAAATTTGTAATATCAATGGTATGGTGATGTAAACTGAACTTTGGTTATATTCAGTTCATTTGTTTCCGCACTAAAAGTTTTTTTTGTCATTTCTATCGTAAATCCATTCTTCCAGTTTTACACAATTCCTTAAATTCTGATTCTAAATGCTTTTAATGGTCTAGCAATTGATTTGAAAATTACTATTAAATCTCAATCTTCAATCCAAATAATGAATTGAGAAAGGCAATAATCATGTTTGTGCTGCTCTCTGTTGGACGAAAAATCAACTGACATACTTTGGATTTCGTTTATACCATTTTGATAAAATCTTTGGGTTCAGAAGTTTTGACCGATTCTTGAAGTTGATCTTGGACAATGCAACAGAATTTGATTAGAAATCTGATTGTTCTATGAAAATATAACATCTAACAATGGTTGACTAATTAACCGGCAAATCAAAGTTCATTATTGTCTTTCAATGGTGATTCCTGCAAAGTTACATAAGTCTCTCTGGTGTTATATGGAACAATGGAAATGAGTTTCATGAAATCATAAACTTAGACATTTATTGTTTCAATGAACAATTATTTAAAAAAAAGTATTGATTATAATTTCCATTGACTAATATTGAACAAACCTATTGATGGTAAAAGCTGAAAGGTTATTTATGAATTCCTGGTTTCCTAATACCATTGTTAGACTCATGTGATTATTTTTTGGATAATCAAAGTCTCGATAATTGTAAGTTGTTGATTTAAATGAATAATATGATGATATTATGATAAGCTGAGAATCATAAATGTAATCATAAAGGAAAGAGTAAAAGACTATTGTGATGTACGAATTGATTATGATTATTTTAATCAACAATTTATTCCAATGAGTAAAAGGTTTCCATCATTTTGCTCTCTCATTCAATTAATTAATTGTTTCGCTCTCTTTCGATGTTCCTTTCAAAATCAATATAAAAGTGATTCCAATTTGTTGAGACTTTCATTCAACTCTTTTAATTGTTGTCCAGCTAATTAGTTTACTAACAATGAAGTTAACCGTAATTTTCCTCATCACTTTGGCCTGTGCCTTTGCTTCATGCAGAAATGTTGCCAAGCCAATGTCAATCAGTCTGAAAAAGTTCAGAGATTCCAGATTGAGTTTACTTCGACCTGATTTCTATCGAAATTTGAATAAACAATTAGCCGATAAATACACTGCAAACCCAACAGTGTCTGCTGAACCATTATCTAATTACTTAGGTGAGTAAATTATTTAATTGTTGAATGTTTACCCAATTTTGATGGACTTTACTGTAATTTTAATGGTTTAATTCAGTAGTAAATTTATTAATTATCTGAATGTATTAGTATTTAATGAATTGTTTATTGATTTACATTCTCTAATTAGGATAATGAAAATTGATTTTCGCGGTATTTAATGCGCTCCAATTTGTTGTCTAGTTTGTTTACAATGGGTTGAATAACATTTGCTCTAGATAGCCAATTAGACCATCATTTGATTCGCTTTTTGTTTTAACTTAAGTTAGTTTTATTTAATTGTTTATTTCATTTACAGATACCCAATATTATGGTGAAATCACCATTGGAACTCCTGGACAAAAGTTCAACGTCATTTTCGACACTGGATCTTCAAATCTTTGGGTTCCTTCGTCAAAATGTAAATGGACCAACATTGCCTGTCTTTTACATAACAAATACAACTCGGCTAAAAGTAGCACCTACAAACCCAATGGAACTGCACTCGAAATTAAGTATGGCTCAGGATCAATGACTGGTTTCCTTTCAACCGACACTGTTACTATTGGTAAGCTATTACATTGTATTAATAATTGAACAAGCATAACCTTGTTCTTGTTTAATATGTGGAATTCAATCTCGTAATTCATTGTTAACCAAGTAACAAGATGTGAATTGTTTGATAAGAAATCCTCGAGCCTTTGATTTGTTATTGTAACAATGATTACAATAGTACAAGGTTAAGTAGTTTAATCTCTCGATTAACGATTATCCGTTTCCTCTTTTTTTTCTAGGTAATATTGTAATTAAAGATCAAACCTTTGGCGAAGCTAAGACTGAACCAGCTTTAAGCTTTGTTTTAGCTAAATTTGACGGTATTCTTGGTCTTGGTTTCAAAGCAATCTCTGCCGATGGAGTCCCAACTGTTTTCGATAATATGGTTGCCCAAAAATTGGTTCCACAACCAGTATTTTCATTCTACCTTAACCGAGATACCAAAGGTTCAGTTGGTGGTGAATTACTTCTTGGTGGCATTAATGATCAACATTACTCTGGACCAATCAGTTATGTACCATTAACCAACGAAACTTACTGGCAAATACAAGTTGACGGTATTACTGGTTCTGGTTCTGGTTCTGGCTCTCCATTATCAATCGATTGTTCAAAGGGATGTAAAGCTATTGTTGATACTGGTACTTCTTTGATGGCTGGTCCATCTGCTTTAATCGATCAACTTCAAACTTACATCGGTGCCACTAAAATTATTGGTGGTCAATACACTGTCGATTGTAACTCCACCAGTAAATTGCCTGATATTACCTTTAGCATCGCTGGTAAAGCTTACACTTTGACACCTAATGATTATGTTGTTTCCATCAGTCAACTCGGTCAAACAGTATGCATCTCTGGTTTTTCAGGAATTGATGTTCCTGCTGGACCTTTATGGATTTTAGGTGACATTTTCATTGGTAAATATTACACCATCTTCGACAGAGGAAACAACCGAGTTGGTTTCGCAGCTGCCAAATAATTTACAAAACAATGATATCAACAATTCACTCAATTTTTATGATAATACGATTTCAATTTGAATAAGGAAATAAATCTGAATTCAAAATTTAATAAGACAATGTTAATTGCTTCTATCGTTATTTGATAATAATCAATAATTTATAAAACCATAAATGGCAAACAGTTATTAAACAGTAGATAGGTCAGTCTAAAGCGATTTAATTTATTACATTTATACACAAAATTTTGAACCAATAATTGCTAACATATTCACGAAGCTGTAGCTCTCTTTGCTCTCTCCTCTTTTTCTCGAATTGTAAGAAAACTTTCAACGGCACCATATTTAGCTCTCAACTGAGCTCTAACCAATTGTCTACTTCGATGGTAATGATATTTAATCAAATGCTTTCCATAACCTAATGTTCTTATATAATCAGGGTATTTTTTCTGTTGTGTACTCATTACTTTTCCATTATTGATGTACATATGGAAATCGGTGTATTCATCTTTTTCAACCTCTTCGAGTTTTCTTACTTTGCCGTCACTTGGGCTTGCCAGTACTTTCGGGTAAAATCCATTTTCCTCTCTGAATTCAACCAAATGTAGTTTCTTTTCATTTGCCATCTCTTGAAAGTTCCTTTGATTGAAAAGTCCAGATATGAAGGCACGAGCAATATTGAGGTAATTTTCTTGATTTCCTTCAGACTTGACAAAAATATCTTTGATACCAACAGCAATACATAAGTCTCTTATAACTCGGTGACAAACTAATCCATATCCAGGAGGCATTTTGAATGCATAAATTTTGTTACAGAAAAATCGGGCATGGAAATCGTGAAAAATTGTATGACCATCACAAATAGGAACTGCAATACAATTTCGCGAAGCATCCGCATAAGATAAGGTAATTGAATCTCTCATATTATCAGCATTAGCTTTTCCTAAGCCAACGATTCCATTTTGATTACCAATGATAGCTAGATTTCGCAAATTTGGAACTTTACCTTTGCCAGCTCTAGGAGTCATTTTCAATTTGGACTCTATTATCGTGCAAACGAAATCGTGTAAAGCTTCTTTATCAGGATAAATATCTTTACCTCTTGTCCAGGTTCCTCGCGGAGAGCCTCCCGACCACCCTCTAGAGAGTGGATTGACTCTGACCTTAACATATGTATCTAATTGATTACGAATTTCCGTTAAATTTTGTTCAAATGAATTATCTTGCTGGGGAGCCTCTTTAATTTCGACAGTCTCTCTGCCTTTAATAACATGTGAATTGAGTCCAGGCCAAATGATACTCAATGGGCCAACACCAATTTGTTGACCTTTATTCAAATCCTTAGCTCGACTTTTACCAGCACCTTTGCCTCTACCTCTTTTTTTACCAGCATTACTAACACTGGTTACTCCTTTCCAAATCTGCTGAGCATTTACTAGAGTTGCAATAAAAATTAAGTTATAATAAATGCATTAAGTGTGAGATATTCTGAAACTTACATCTAGTGAAAAAAGAAGTACTCCATCTAGCTTGGTTAAAATTCACACCACCGATGGATTGTGACCAGATAAACTGAGGCTCTCTAATGAGAACGCTTTTAGAAACATTAGTTGCAGCATAATTGAGACACTTAATCAAACGAAAACTCATGATTTAACGAAAAAAAAACATGGACCACAATAAAAAAACAATCAAGAAAAATTACAAAAACATTACATGCGTAATGATGACAAAATAATTTCTGGTGGTTTTTTCAAATTTTTACCAGAAGAGTAAAGAGCATAAAAACTATCACCTCTTTAATATATTTGTTTTGAAATGGAATATCTCTGAACTTAGACTTAAAAATCAAATATAATTGAATCAAATTAAATATCCAGAGAATACGATTTTCACAGATAGGTCTGATACTGGAACTATTGGTTAGCTGCTAATTTAACAAGGATGACAGAATGAAGTTTGGATTTGGTATCGTTTTACAAAATAACTGTTATCTCAATGGTAATATCGGACAAGTTTAATCTAAAAGCAGTCAAAATAGTTATGAACCTGATACATTAGGTGTAAATTATTTCCCAAGAAATTCTGTAAATTTTGATCAGTAGTTCGCATAGTTTGTTACCACTGATTCCAACTGTCCTCAAAAATCATTCACATCATTAATCATTAATAAAAAAAATTAAAACAAGTTGATATTGAGATGTTGACCAATAAATTCATCTTTTATCAATCCATTACAACTCTAATTGAAGTACATAAAAGTTTTTCATTATCTGATTCAAATGAATAGCGAAGTCAATTCTTTGGTACAATTCATTGATACATGAATAGATGTATTTTCTTGAGTTACAAAAAACTATATTGCGTTTATAAATTGTTTATTTATCGTTAATTTAGCTAAAATTTTAAGAAAAATTGATCGACAGTACTTTTGTAAAAATCATAGCCTCCTAAGTAAACTGCCCCTCCGATGGTAATGAAGAGTATCCTAGGAGATGCTCCAGAATATAATCTAAGAAAAAAAATGAGAATAAATTATTGAATTTGTATAAATTCTGAATTACTTCGAACTTACCCTCTAAACCCTGATTCTTTGAATATTAAACTAATTACAGCTAAGAAATTAACTCTGCCATATTTATTATCTTTTTTGGCGAGCATAATACGCGTCTTGGCCACATCAATTGGATTTGTTGCGATTGCGGCACATAAACCGGCCAAAGAGCCACAAATACAGGACTCTACAGCGCTAATAGGTTTATCGTTAAACTTGGCCCAAATTTTTTTAAGATGCTCCCAAAGTGGCAGCTGGATCAATGCAAAAGGTATATCACGGGAAAGAGTGGATAAAAATCCTCGATACATTCCTATCAACTTATCCTCTCTCAATGCTTGTTTTAAAATAATATTCCAAGAAACTTTTGAAGCTTGTGTTCTCTGCTTGACAACCTCAACAGGGACTCGAATAAGACATGCTGCCTGAAAGAGTAAAAAATAGATAATTAATTTCATAGTCTAATTTCAAAGTGGAATAACTTCTTACTGTTTCAGCTAGTGATGCTGAAGTCATATTGATTAAAGTGGGGTCCGTTAGATGATGGTTCATGGCAACTTTAGAGTATTCATATACACTGAAAAAAGCAGCAGCTGATAATCAATTGATAGTAAGATATGGTTAAACAAAAACTGTTGATTACCATTAGGAGCTGAGACAATCATGGCTGATCCTAAGCCTCGATATAACTGCTTGAATCCACCAGAATTTTGAAAACCAAACTGACTTTGTAATCGAGTTTTAACGGTGTCAAGTGGGAATAGAGCTAAATCAACAGACATACCAGCAATTGCTCCCGCCTTGAAGAAAGTGTAACAAAATAAGTTTTAATTAAATGCCGAAAAAAACGAATTTCAAACTTACCACTAAGGACGAAAAAAATTGCCTCCTTTTATCGTCAAAATCCATAACAAGAATTTAAATTTCAATACATTTTCTCTGAAATGCTGGATACATATGATTATCTTAAAATAACTTATTCTCACTATTTTCACTACCATGTGTAAAAATAATTTTTTCAATGGTCCCTATTGAAAAAGGTTAATTCATTTCGACTTTTTAGTTGTTAATTAACACAGTTTAGTTTCATTCGTGAAATATCAACGAAAAAACTCGATAACTCAGTTAGTGATGATAACTTCAGGCTGAATCAAGCTACTAAACCAAAAATGAAAATCATGGATCCGAGTGCCCGACGAATAGTTCATTGAGATCAGAAGCAGTTCACAGTTCAACAGTTAAAGTTAAAATAGTTTTATTGTTGATAGAAAAATTGTGGTTGAAAAATAAAAGTACAATTTCAATAAATTTTCACCACAGCATAAGAATAGATATTCTGAATAAAAAGTGTTGGTGAACAGAAAAAGTAACCTTGAGAGTGAAAAATTTTCCAATCTTCAATTGCTTATTACGCTTCCAAAATCTTTGAAAAAGTTAGAGCTACAATTAAATTTGGGAAATATTTTACCCAAAAAATGACTTTTTCAAAACTTATCCCAAAGAACCAGATTGATTAATCCAAACAATAAACAATTTAACTCATATACACATATATCACAAATAATTTAAGAAGAGAAACAAATTATCCTGGATTTGCCCTGCTGATGATCATGATTTAACTACGATTTTTCAAACGGCAGAACATCGAGTATTCCAAGTAAATATTGGCCCGAGAAGGAAATTTCATCGCAAATATATTTCGATTAAAATGTCAGATCTCGATAAAAGGCATTAGAATACTTGATTACAACAGGAATTAATATTTCTTTGATTTTCCAGGCTTTCCTGATCCTGTGTCCTTCTTGTTGATCTTAATATACTCAGGCATATCAGGAGATGGAATAGCTGTAGTTGTAGTTTCTGTGTCATTTGGTGGGTTGATACGTAACTAGAATGAGAAGAAAAATTAAATCAGCGAAAATGTTTGAACAGTTCAAAAATGTGAACACTCTTAATGTCCATCAGCCTACGCTAATCACTAAAAAAGAAAGTAATCACTAATGTTCATGATCCAATTACAATATGCTACCTTGAAATAATTATTATTTTACACCCGATTTAGTGAAATGGTTAGTTAAATTCGGACGGTATGTAAGAAAACTCACCAAAATCCTTTGTTTTTCGGCACAGGCATATTCGGTTTCGTCGATGTCATTATAACAATCGGATCTTGAATTTTTTGGTACACCTTTTCCTCCATATTCACATAATCTATCCAATGAACGAGATTTAACAATCATTTTGTTAACATCTGTTGGCTTCTCCAGTGGACAATAGAAAACCTTGGGTGTTTTGATATCAAAAACGATGCTTTTTCTCATCATGTCTCCATGAACCAAGCCAATAGTCAAAATTATGACAATTAATTTGAAATCTAAGGAAAAAAAGAAAGAAATTTGGATGAACATATCAGATATGTGATTTAGGAAGGGTTAGGTTACTACCGATGATTATGTGAAAGCATAAAATATTGAGCAGAGTCAAAACTTCTGTCAATCATACAAGAACTAGAGGATGTTATATTAATTTGAATAATATCTATAATTTTTATTGAATAAGTTGGTCGACTAAAAGTAAAACCATCACCAAAAACAGTTGGACAATGAAATGAGACAAGATGGACAGCGAAACAAAAGAAAGGTCACTAATATTAACTATTGTAATTAATTGTTTTTTTGGATAAACTGACTAGTACAGTAGTTGATTTGACGAAAATAATAAAGGAATTTTAATCATTAACTTACCCATAATGGTCATTGTAGATATTTGGTGAATAACCAGTTGATAAATCTATTGGAATTCAACTAAAACTGTGTGGATCAGGAGAGAGGATTAGAAATGAAGATGGTGGCGAATGATGTTATTCATATGCCATAAGTATGGCAAAAGTCATTGAGAAAAAGAAACGGATAATGGTTAACTCAGCTTCTTAGCGTTGATAAAACCGGTTGCACCTAAGAAACTTCCTTCATTATTCTTCAGTAGTCTTTTTATAATAACTTTTTTCTCTACCTTTCTCATCACCATTCTTCCTTCTTCTCCTTCATCATTTCATATTATTTTCTCACGGTTATCTTTTATTGTTCAACAGATTTTGAACATGTAATGAAAAGAATGATGAAAAAAGAAGAGTCATTTCATGAGGCCTTGAATTTATGATCTTTGATCAATAAACCCTAATCCATCGCTTCAGTATTTAATAGAGCGATAGTCCAATTGTTTACTATTTCATGGCCTTTCCAGTCAATGAGTAATGACCTTAACCACCGAGTTATTCACAGGTTGTCCTGCATAATCTTGAAAGAATACAGTCAAGAATTGCTATCTTGACCCATCTTATTTCTAACTGGATGGACTATAGTCCATCATAACACCAACTCTTAACGGTCCATAGCACCAGAGAAGATCAAGAGTGATGCACATTTTTCAAAAAAGATAACAAAGTCCATTAAGTAGACGTTCAGCGATAATCAAGCAACACTTTAAAAACGGGTTCAATTGATGAAAAGAGCTAATGAGCAGTGAAACTTCGATTATAATATTATCCATTGGAATGATTTTAAATAAGCTGGTTTAATAAGAGATGACAAATGTTTAATTTGCAACCCCAGGAAGAGAGAGACAATGACAATGAAAATTGCTAGCAAAGAGTAAACAATCTTTAAATAGATCTTTTCTTTTCAGCTGATTCTTTCATCACCTCTGATAGCTCTATAGCGAGCCATATCATCAGGATCTTACTCTCAATTGTCAGTTCAATGAATCTATTTTACCCCTTAATAACTGTTAGCTGATTATTGGCCAAAGGCCTTTCCATGCAGTCTTCAGTAAACAATTGTGATAAATTAAACACTTGTAATTTGATTCATTTATTCAATGGTTTCCATCATTCCGATTGAGTTAATATTTGTGAATTTGTGCATTCCGTGTTTTTTCTGTCATTTATATCCCACTCATCACATCAAAAGATCTACTTCCTAATCATCCCAAATCAACTGTTTAAATTGCTATGAAAATGAATAAACACATCAAGATTTCACTCTTATTTCTATTAAATTTAAAATCCTTAATCGCTTTCTCTATCTCACAACGAGATAGTATTCCCCGTTTAATTGTTGTATCTTTTGATGGTTTCAGAGGTGATTATCTAACACCTAGCCTTACACCTACATTATGGGCGATCAAACGTAACGGTGTTACTGGTCAAATGTTTCCATTATTTGCCAGTAAAACATTCCCAAATCATTTTTCAATTGCCACTGGCCTTTATGAAGAGTCTCATGGAATCGTTGACAATCAAATGTATGATCCGGAATTTGATGAAATCTTTGATAAAACTAATTTAGACCATAAGTGGTGGGATAATGGATACTCTTTGCCGCTTTGGGTAAGTGCAATGACCGATAGAGTGTTGATTTAAACATATTTATGTTTGTTATTATGGTAGCCTTTGAGTTTACCATCATAATTTTTTTCTATTAATATCAATATTGGTTCATATTTATAGATTGCTAATGAATTATCCGGACAAACGAGTGGGGTCATGATGTGGCCAGGCTGTTGTACCGAATATGGAAAATTAACTTCTACTTATTGGCATAAATATAATGAAAGCATGAGCTTTGAAGACCGTGCTGATATTGTTTTTGACTGGATGACTCGACCAGATAATCCAGCCAATCTCGTTTTCCTTTACATTAACCAACCTGATTCACTGGCACATGTATACGGACCTTTCTCAGAACAGGTCCTTGAGATAGTGTCTGAAACAGATAAATTAGCTGCCTATTTGCTCGAAGGGCTTGCTGCCAGAGATCTCTTAGAGAGCACCAATATAATATTTTTAAGTGATCACGGAATGACTGAAGTCACCAATTATAATACTATTAATTTAACAAATGTCTTAAATACTAATTTATTCCGTCACTTTGGCGAATCCCAAACTGTTGGTATTCTTCCTCGCGAAGGTAAATTCAATCAAGTTTATCAAATGCTTAGGAAAAATGCACGGAAAAACCATTACAAGGTTTACCTCAAGTCTCAAGTTCCTCAAGAATATTTTTATCGGTAAATATCAAATTATTTTACATAACAGCCTGATATCTAACTTTGCCTTTCTTCTCTTTTCTTAGTGACAATCGACGAATAATGCCTATCGTAATAGAAGCAGAGCCTGGTTATGAGGTTACTTTCTCTGATTGGGTTCATAAGACTCCAGCATGGGGCAACCATGGAAATAACAATACCCAGCCTGATATGAGATCTGTGTTCATAGGTGTTGGACCCAGCTTCAGAAAAGGCTTTGAACTGAAGCAGGGTCGGTTTTTCAATATTGATCTGTATCCAATTATGGCTAAGATTTTAAATCTTGATATCGATTATTATAAGCACAATGGGACTGACAAGCTGACTAAAAAATTTCTAGTTTGAACATTTGTATGCATATATTTTTTATCTGTCAATAAGCTTTGAAAATCGTTGATTACTGTACAGGAGTGTCGTTAAAGATAATGTTCATTGAAGTATCACAGATATTTATCGCAGTTATGAGGGATCCAGTGTAAATTATGAATATAAATAAACATGTAAATATGATTGACAAATTTATTTATTATAATAAAATTTATTCTCTAATAGTACTTATATTCAAACATAATCAAAACCAATTCCAAATTGGATACTTCTGTCTAATCGATCACCGGGTTGGTGCTGTAATGGGAAACAGTAGTTGAGTTCTAAGCGAACGAAATTAGGAAATGATACAACAAAACCGAATCCAACAGAAAATCTAACTCTATTTACCATGTTATTAAAATATTTAACATGATCTCCCTTGAATGGGAAATTTCCGATGTTACCAGCATTTAAAAAGAAGTGTGTTTTCAACCAACTATCGGAACTATTCATCTTCTTGAACGGAAGAGGGGCATATAAATGAAGTCCAGTTATCCAATAGGTACTAGCACCTAGCGCATTTCCTTCTGAATGAGGTCCTACTCCATTCATCTTAAAACCTCTAAGATTCATAGGACCACCTAAGAAAAATCTATCAGCTATGCCACAAGAAGAGTTGATGATCCCAGCTTTTAGGGAACCTTCAAGACTAATGTTACCAATTAATGGCATTCTATTAGAAACTAAGAATTCCTGTTTAATAAATGATGTATCGCCACCTAATCCAGCATACTCTTGGTTCAATTTGACTATATAATCAAGATAGGGCGAGAGTTCTCTCCGGTCAATAGTCATTGTGTGGTAAATTGATGATTTTAGGCTGTGTCCACTTTGCTCTCTGATTTGAAAACTAGGACCGAAAGCTTTGATTTCTCTCCAAATACCGGCCCACCTAAAATTATGATTGATATCAGCGAATGAATTGAGAGATAAATCTACATGAACACCACGATCAGTTTGATGAAATCCAGACCAGGGCCTTTCTCCTGAATTTTGATAAGCTGCTGATGTAAAAATCGGATTGTAATAAGTCCAAGGTCTGATTGGCGCTTTAAACTCAACATTGACTCCTTTTTGAGAGTTTTTCGATACTTGGTATTCAACAGAGAGTTTTTCGGCTCCTCCAAGTACGTTAAGTAAATCAGACTTTAACACTAGAGATCCGTCATTATTGTCAATCATAGTTGATATCTTTCCTTGAAGTGGACCTTTCTCTTCGACTTTATAAATGATTTCATAGCCGGTGGAGGTTGCATCAGCTAAAGATAGGTGAGATGGAAAAAATATTTACTAGGAATAAGTTTGACATATAAAGCTAATCGTGGCTTACCTCGATTAGTATCAATGGTTATCTCAATACGGTTAAACACTCCCAAGCCCGACAATCGTTCTCTGAATTCATATGCTTCCACCAACAAATCCTGAAAGTTGTGAATGTTTTTGAATTTGTTCTGGAGCATATTCACCATTAAGTTGTCTTTAGTCTTTTTCAAGCCATCAATGGTAATCTTGTCTACCCTGGCTTTAACATTGGCCAGTATAGATATATCATTGTCACTTTCCATAGACATTCAGAATAATTTCCAAAAACTGTTCAAATTAAATTGAACATAAAGGTTATTTATCGAAACTTAAAGGTTATTGAAGACTGTTTCAATTAAACTTGCTCAAGTCAGCTGGTACAATATTAAAGCCATCTATCAAGAGAGGAAGTTACTAGTTTCGGCATGTGTTTGAAAATAAGACAACTTTCGAGATTCTGGTTTATATAATATTTAACAATAAAAATATTAAACAACAAAATAATTTAAAAACATTTTGTAAGATACTATCAATCTTATTTACATTTTATAATTAATTTACAAAAGGCACAAATATTCAAAAGTCATTTTTTTCCTCTTCTAAAGTATGCAACAAAGCGTTTTCGTTGCACATCGTTCATTGTAGCTCTAACAATTAGAAAGTTGGCATCGGCATCAGGCTCAATAGACTGAATTGTAGTTTCTCGATGTAACCAACTCAGTTCCTCACCTCCATTTGGCACTTTAACTTTAACAATTTGCTGGCCAGTTACTTGAGTTAGTTTGGTATCAATTTTTTCGATTAAAGATTTTAAGTTTTGACCCTCAGTAACAGATACAGGAATATCTCCTTCTTCGATAGCAGTAGAGTTTTCTGATGAAGAATCATCAATCAGATCAATTTTGTTGGCTACGTTAATCATAGAAGAAACAAGGTTAGGGTTAAATTTCAAATAGTCCAAAGTTTTGAGCACTGTGAACTTCTGGTTAGCTAAATCAGGGTGACTAGCATCATAAATGTGCAACAGCAAATCCGAATTAGCAACTTCTTTAAATGTTACATTGAAAGAATCGATTAATTCTTTCGGTATATTTGCGATGAAACCGACAGAATCTAAAAACAATACTTTACGCAATGATGGTAGCTTAACTGGATGAGCAGTAACTTCTAGAGTTGCAAATAATCGATCTTCAGGTGATAATTTTCCATCTTGACTTAGGGCTTTGATGAGACTTGTTTTACCAGAATTAGTGTAACCAATTACAGAGACTATTGGATATTGAAGCTCTTTTCTTCTTAATCTAAGGCGTTCTTTGTTTGCTTCAAGTTTCTCTGAAGCTTTTTTCAATACTTTCGTTCGACTTTCCAAAAGTTTTCGATATCTTTGTCGAGCTGTCATGCCTGATCCTCCGGCAGTTTTCCCAGTACTATATTTATCTCCACGAACTTCTGGTGCATATTGGTTGACTCTTGACTTTAAATACAAAATTTCAGCCAATCCTAACTGAATTTGAGCTTCAGCAGAAGTTGCATGATTTTTAAAAATTTCCAGAATAATGGAGTATCTATCAAACACTGGAACCTTTAAGACATTTTCCAATTCATATTGCTGTTTCCCTAGAAGTCGATCAGCAGCAATAAATAATCCTGTAGTAGATGATCCTTTGATTCGACCATCTATTTCTTCGACAGTTTTTTCCGAGAAGAATAGCGGTTTGTGAAAATCATTCACACCAAATAATCCAGCATCACTTACTCTCCATTTAGGAATACTATGGATCAAACTGATTGATTCTTTTAATTGCAGCTGAGGTGTACTTTTTGGTTTATCATCAATGTCGGTGGGAAACCTTATATAAGGTTGACAAACCAGAACGGAATGGGCTTTACGACCATCAACAATATAATTTCGTCTTAAAGCGTCATACTCTGGATCAGGTGTTAGTAATTCATGAAAGTTGTAATCATTTTCACCAAAGTTGTTTAAATTACACAAAGATCGTATAACTGTAGAGTGTTTATAAAATTTACTACTGAATGTTAGACGCTTTAGAAAATTCATCATTCATTTGATGACAAATAATTTCTCTAGCATTTAATTATAAAATTCACAATCAAAACAAAATTAAGTTTCATCGCACTAGACTTGAGTTTCATATGCTTTATGCGATGCGTTTAAAACCTGCGCATCCGCAGTATCTTTATTTTGACTGGTGTATTTTTGTTTTAAAATGGTAAGTAAACTTCATATTTAACTAATTAATTATTAATCATTTATTTAATATTACCGATTTCTTTCTGTTTTTTTCAGGCTACTCAACAACCGTCAACGTCAACTATACCGACAACAGTTACTCTAGTTCAAGACCAATCTCCTCGGACTCAAGGTTGTATGGTTCATGCTATTGAACACAGATTCATCAACTTCATTAAGGTAAAGACAACATCATGTAGTTTATGTGAAAAATCAATGATTATCGGATTAAAGTGTAGACACTGCAAATATAGATGTCATCGAGAATGTGTGGATAAAGTTCCACCATCCTGTGGTCTTCCTAACAAATATGTTGATTTTTTTCGTGAGACCATGAAGAATGAAGGACGAATAATCATCAACAACACAAGTCCAGCTGCTGATGAATCCAGAAGCGAAAGACTTCGTCAAAATAGTCTTACCATGAGAGAATGGGACATTCCATATGATGAGCTTACAATAGAAGAAAAAATCGGCGCTGGTCGATTCAGTACTGTATATAAAGGTAGATGGCACGGTCTTGTTGCCATCAAAACATTTAATTTGAACAATTCCCTAGACGATTGGAAAGCCTTGGAAGCCTTCAAACAAGAAGTAGTCACCTTCTGCAAAACACGCCATGAAAATTTAATTCTATTTATGGGAGCTTGTATGAAACCTCCTCATCTAGCTATAGTTACAAGCCTTTGTCAAGGACTAACCCTTTACACTCATATACATTTGAGAAAAGATAAGTTTAATTTAAATCGTTTAATAATGATTGCTCAACAAATATGCCAAGGAATGGGCTATTTGCATGCTCGAGGTATTGTCCATAGAGATTTAAAGAGTAAAAATATTTATTATGAAAACGGCAAAGTGGTCATAACCGATTTTGGTCTTTGTTCCGTTACCAAATTATGTCACGGTAATCGAATCAGAGGCTGTTTAAAAGTACCTAAAGGATGGCTATGTTATTTAGCTCCTGAACTAATCAGATCTCTTCATGCAGATAGTGATCCACCTCAAGACTTAAATGATTTACCATTTTCTCCAGCTACTGATTTATACGCTTTTGGAACTGTCTGGTTCGAGTTATTAGTTGGTAGTTGGCCGTTTATTGGACAACCTCCTGAAGTAATTATCTGGCAGGTTGGTAAAGGTCTTAAGCAACCATTAACCAATCTACGAGCACCGAGAGAAATTAAAAATATTTTAATGATATGTTGGGCATACCAGCCTGAAGATCGACATGATTTTAGCAAATTGCAACTTTTACTATCCAAATTACCGAAAAAGAGATTACAGCGGAGTCCATCACATCCTACATATCTTCTGCGTTCAGTTGAGTCTATTTAAACAATTAAAAACAACGATTAATAAATAAAAATAATTTCTATTTTACAATAACAAATGTATTTTTCATTCAATAGATTCAACTCAAATATTAGTGAACGGTTATTTAAAAATCGCGCTTCTCTTAATTTGCATCTCATCCAAGTAAACTCCTCTCTTCTGTTGCTAGCGTTACGAGTCAAACAAGATTTTAGCCTTCCGTTTCCTCTCTAACACCAAGTCTAAATTGTATTTGATCTTTTATATTATTTTGATTAATTTATCGTTAACAGTTATAATACAAAATGAAGTAAGTAATTCCTTATTATGTGATTTAAACAATTATCTAACCATTATTCGTCTTGCAGGCTTGAACTGTGTTCTTACAGTGGTTACAAAATCTATCCCGGTCATGGGAAAAAGATGGTTAAAACCGACGGAAAGGTGAGTTTACTATTAATTTTATCTTAATTACTTTTAATTCTAAGCACTAGATTATTAACTAATCATTCATACTCAATTTTATTTAGGTATTCACTTTCTTAAATACTAAATGTGAGTCATCTCATCTAATGAAAAGAAATCCACGTAAAGTGACATGGACCGTTCTCTATCGTCGAAAGCACAGGAAAGGTATCGAAGAAGAGACTCAGAAAAAGAAGACCAGAAGGACCACAAAGTTCCAAAGAGCTTTCGTTGGAGCATCTTTAACCGACATTATGGCTAAAAGAAATATGAAGCCTGAAGTTAGAAAGGCTCAAAGAGAACAAGCCATCCGAGCTGCTAAAGAAAAGCAAAGAGCTACTAAAGCCGCAAAGAAGGCCCCACCACCAGCACCATCCAAGGGTAAAGGAAAATCAAAGGCTGTCAAGCAACCAGCACTTCAAAAAGCAAGGGTTGGAGGGAAACGGTAAACGCTATTGACCTTAAATCTCGCTTGTTGATTAGCTTCGGCAACATTTGTATGGTAAAATATAACCCTTTAAAAGATGCAACATCTTTCTGATCTAAATAAATAATTAATAAGATCAAATTCTGAACCCGGTACAACGTTTGTGAATCTAAAATGTTTTATCGATCAGATTGCTATCAGATGATTTCAGCTAGAACAGTGTTAGTTTTAGTATCAGTTAGTATGCAATTGATCGTTAGCAATAACCATTTTGATTAATTTTTAGATACTCGGTTGAAAGTTTATTTTTATTTAGATTAAGTTTAAGATTCAAGTATTATTTAATATTGTTTGAAGTTGATCTTCTGAACTTTTAGACATTCAAAGTTACATCTCTTGCTAGCTCAGCAAACTTGAAATGAATTGATAAAATCCAGAATGAACAAAATTAGGTTTGATTCACATATAAGATTAATTGGCCAGGATAGAGTTTAATCTAGCTCGTCCTCTAAGCTTTTTAGTGTATTTACCGCGACGTTCACTTTGGTTCATCCTATGAATAATGTTTCTGTTGTGGTTTAATAGCTAAGATTATAATGATTATCAATTGCTAATTATAATCTTACAGCGAATGATACCGACTTTTCCAAGAGATCTTTTTAACCATTCCGTTGATTTCTGCTTGACCTTCATGGTTTTTATGATATTTACAATGGACTTTTTCCCAACTTTGATTATGATAACGAAGAAGTTGATTTTGTGTATGACTTAAAATTTAGACAATCGATCAAAAAAGGATGATTTTGGTCAATCTTTAGGGCCAATGTTTGATTCATGAGTGATTTCTGTGAGGATCCGATTTCCTTACAAGATACTCATATCTTAAAGGAAAACGATTTAATTCTGCTATCAGTTCAATTCGATTTTTGATCAATCAGAAATTCGTCACCATCTTGAACATTGTAGGTGTATAGCTTCTTCTGGTTGAACTTTAATTCCTCTGGACCCATGACTTCAGAAAGAACATGATCGATATAAAATATTCTCATCTTACCAATTGGTAAATTAAAGATGGAGCTATTAGTGAGAAAAAAAGAGGAAGATTTTGATGAGAATTAATTTTATAAGTAATGTTTGAAATGATTATTAGAAAATGCGTAAAAAGTGAAAATTTTTGGCACCAATTCAATCAACAATGAAATAAATTGTTCAGCAAAAACAGCAAAATGAGTTTCATGACAAATAACAAAGCAAACAACATACAATCAGCTTGCAAAACTAATCCAACAGATTGGTTAGGATAATTTTTTGTATCAATCTTTGAACCTTTCAGGCTTGTTCAACATACCTTTAGATCTACCTTATCTTTTTCTCAATACAATTTACAATTTGTAATGATTCCAAATGTTCGCTTTTCACTTTTTTCTTCCTTCCTCACTATTCCCTCAACCAACCAACCAACCAACCAACCAACCAACCAACCAACCAACAAACCAACCTTACACTTACCCTAACCTCTACCACTACTTTTACTTTCATTCTTCACTTTCATTTAACATCTACGATACACTTGATCAAATATAAAATGATCTAATCATGTCAATTATGACCTCGATACAGCTTAATCTTTCAAGTTTTCACTCATTTACTTTCTTTGTTTCTTTTTATTTTCTTCTTACTTTTTTCTCGCTAACTACTTGATCACCATCTCAACAAGTTTTCGTTTTTGGCAAAATTGACCGTAAATCAACAAGTATAAAATGCCGGTTTTGTTTGACTGGAAAGAGTGCGTTTTTTGCTTCTCACTTTCAAGTATATGATTATTTGCTGTTGCTTTTATTGTTTGTTGTTGTTTTGTTGTTCTCGTTGTGTAAGATGTTGTTTAAATTAATGATAGTTTGGGATTGTTTTTTGTTGACTGTTTACTTGATGGCTAATTTGAACAGCATCACCAATCAACAATCTCAGCAATTAGGCCAAGCAACAAACTAGCAGTCATCACTTAAGCAACTACGACTGCTTGAGTTAGCAAAATTCATTAAAACCTAGTCAATGTTTACCTTATTTCACTTTTGAAGTCTTTAACTGATTTGTTGAGATCTACTTTCATTTCTTTGATCTCTTTTTTGACATCCTCATCACTTGGCAAACAATTGGTATCATAAAATGTACATATGATTTTGATGGTTGCGTATTTCGGCGGTGATAGATCAACTTCGGCCAGCGGATCTACCTTTCCATAAATGTCGAACAAAGTGTAGAATCTATTTAAAGAAAAGTGAAAAGGAAAATTATTTAGTCAAGATGATTGTTTCAAGATTTGAATACTAGTTTCATTGAGAAATCAATCAAGAAATATTGGTTAATCTTGAAAGAAAACAAGAAACAACTGAAAGATTACTCAAGTATAATAGGCTGAGAGACAATCAAGGAGTAATACTAAACAACTTTTTGATGTAAGTAAAGATAAATAGAATGAGCGAGTCCTTGAAACATTTATTATGAAGAAAACGGTTGAAGTAATCTAAAAAACTTTAACGACTCCGATCCTAATTAAAGCAATACAAGACTTGTTGAGAGTGTAAAAAGGCTTACTAAGCGCATTATATTTTGTAACTGATTTGATAATTTCAAAAAAGAGTTATTTAATGTTTTTTTCATGTTTGGTGAAACGGTGGAAAGTTTAATTGACAAGATTAACACAAATAATCACTTTGAAATGTGACTGAGAAGCAAAAATGAAAAACAACAGACCTTTCTGGCTTGTTAGCGTCAGTATTTGCAAGGAACCAACGAACAAAAGCCTTCTCTGCAAACAGCCTTTCATCGTCACTTATTTCACTACCATTTAAACGTTGTATATTAGGTAAGCGAGCAATGAGATGTTGTCTTTTACAGTCAGGATTATTGATTGCTTGTAGGACTTGGATGCCTTGACATCGAAGCTCAGTTAAATGAGTTAAATTGTTTAACCTTTCAAGAAGTTCCCATTCCTTTATTGGCCAGTTTGATATGTTGAGAGTCTGAAGTTTTGGCAATATGTTGCCAAGGTCTTCCGGTATAGTTTCAACATTACAGTCTGCCATGGTTAACCCTTCAAGGCTTGGAAACGCATCCAAAAGGTTGGATATTTCAAACCATGATTTAAGATTAGGATTTCCGGATATGTAAAGCCTTCGGATGTTGTTATATTTGGTTGGACCAATGTCTAGAGTTGTATAATTGTTGAGGCTTAAATGAAGATCACAGAGATTTGGCATTGAATCGAGAAGCAATTGAACAGCAGCAAAAGGCACGCTAGTATTATTTAAGACCAGACTTCTCATATTAATCAGCTCACATGGTTCATGAGGGTTGATTTTGCAATCACTGAGATCATTTTCAGATAAATTAAGAAACCTTAGATTGGGCATTCCTTTGACTATCCTGAAAATCTCATCAAGCCCCGTGAAACCATTAGATGCCAGGTCAAGTTGCTCAACATTTGCACAAAGCTCCCGAATTTTTCTCTCTGAACCAGAATATTTGATGTTACAGCCATTTAATGACAGAGATGGCGGTAAAATTAGTTGATTGCCTGATAAAGGAAAAGGAGAGAAAGTGAAAATGAAAAAAAGCATAAATAGATTGCAGGAGAAAAGAGGAAAGCGTAGAAGAGAGAAAAGAGTTTAATTTTTTCATTTTCTTGAACTCAAATTTAGCATCTTTTATAAACTAAATTGTGCAGTTTTGTGTAAGATTTTTTAAAGAATAATGTGTTTGAGTAATAAAATCAACTGACATAATATAGTGGTGATATTATTTTAGAGAGTATATCCTAAAAATTAATATTCTTGATTTTAATAATAGTGATATTCAGCTCGAGGCTGTAGGAAGAGAAATGTTGGTAAGGAGAAGAGAAGAAATAATAATGGAACAAAATGCAAGAAGGAAACTGTTTTGCTGTTGCTACTGGCTTACATTTGCTTAGATTCATGTCTCTTAAACTCTCTGCTTCTCTGTGTTTCTAGGTTAGTAGATAACGAAGGACAACATAATTTTCATACTCTTTATTTTTGTTGATTTTTCATTGGGTTAGTAGGGAATTTGAGGCAAAAATTAATAAAATAATTACCTGATTTGCCTGGACTTAGAGAGCCAACAATGAATATTTGGAAAGATCCATTGGACCTGTCATCCCTCAATGGATCGGAATATCTTTTGAATAGTGCCTCCACAAAAGACATACTTGGTGGTTTACTTGAAACGATGACGAGATGATGGTAAAGATGAAGGAATAGGTAGCAAAGAGGAAGAGAAAGTGATTAGGGGAAAGAAGGTAAGGTGAGAAAAAAAGAGAGAGATTGATGATGTGTGTGTATTGATGGGAAAATAGAGAATTACACAGAGAAGTAAAAAGAAAGATGTCAAATTAATAGCGAAAGAGACAGAACGAAAGAAGGGGAAGTTAAAGATGACAGAAAAAGAAGATGAAGAGGATGAAAGATGAAAAATGAGATGAGAGAATAAAAAAAGAGAAAGTGTTATTGATGTTGTTTATCCTTTCCCCTTTGCTGTTGCTGTTTCTCTCTTCAAGTATAGCTTCTCAGTTTTGATACTGTTAATGGTTAACATTGTTTATATTGTTGTCAATAAAATTTTACGGGAAACACTACAAGAAGACTACTGGAAGGAAGACAAGAAGACGAGAGTAAGAAAGAGAGAAAGAGAGAGAAACATGAAAAACAAGAGAGAGCAAGCACTCAATTTGACATTTATATAACAGTTTCTATGACGATAAGATTAGCGCAAAGTTTGATTATAACAGTTGATATTTCAATTCTTAATTCAAAAAGTAAGCTCTTGATTTATTCCAACAGCTCCAAGGCTCTTCCTCAATGGACCACAATTTAACATAAAACCATCTAAACACATAATCCAAAGGAAATGATCAAATGATCACAAACTGTAAATAAATAATCCCACAATCCATTGAATCAAAACAATATTATGATAATAAACTGATTTCACTTCAAAATAAACCGTTAATCCTTTCATTTATGAATTTTTCGTTCGACGGATTATTTAATAATAGAACACACCTGAAATTTCGTTATAAACTGGAGGTAATTAACAGACGCAATTGATGCACTGATGAAAAAAACAAATGATTCAACAAATGATTAAGAGTTGACTGAATGTTCATTTAATTTCAAACTCTTTCAAGACAAATTGCATAGACTTTACCGCCATCTAACAATAAATTTTTGAACTAATACTACTCGAAGATGTTGACGATTTCAATTATTTGCTTTGTATTTACATTTTATCTTTAATCAGTTTGAGTAATAAACATATTTTTATAACAAGCGATGTATACTTTGATCAAGGTTAATCAATAAACATCATTAAATCTGGTAAATTTAAGTGTTGCTGAAATTGGTTAAGATTGTATTGAAACAAAAGGAGGACCAAATTGTTTACAGTTGTGAGTTTCATGCAACTAACATTGTTTCATATCTGTGTAATCCTAATCAATGTAAACCAATTTCCTGAATCGATTTCAAATATGGCAATACAATGATGCGATAAATGAGACTCCAATCTAATTGTATAATCACCATGATTAAGGATCTGACCCTGTTTAATTGAATAACGAAATGAAACTGTTTTTTACCGGTATTGTGTCTGTTATTATGATTCCCTTATATTACTGTTGACACAATCTTTCAAATGAACTCCTACAGTCAACAATCAATTTAAAAGGTAAGGTGTAACTGTTAACAGATAATGATAATGTGAGAAGATTCAATTGAACAGATTATTCTTTGCTGGAAATCATGTGAATCTGAATGCGCACGGAGCAACACAAGATGGCGACAAGAGACATTAAATACAAGCTATTTTATTCACTATTTTGCCCTTGCTCAATGAAGTCGGCACTTGATACTTTAACAGGTTTGAAGTAAAGTAAACAAAAGGCTGTTCTCGAGTTAATCGCAATAATTTACTCCGTTAGTCCAGTATTCCTCATCTTCGATTCACTGAGTGTTATCATCGCCATTTCATCACTCATCTTTCCATTCAACTTACCTGGTAACAACAGTTCAACATTAAGATACATTGGATAACGAACATTTCTGGTCAGTATATTTTTCGACTTTCATTCTTTCTCCAAAATATTCAACCTTCTTTTGATCTTGAACTATTATCTTAACCTTAACAATCGCATTAAACTATTTTAGTGACAATTTGAGTCGACAATTTACTCTTTGAATTGTCATAATTTCCTGTTAGTCTCATTGAACGTTAATTCAAATTGTTTGCTCGGTGTTAAGTTAAGATAATGTGAATTGCCGTTAAGATGAGTTGAACATTTTTCTTTGTTTTATTTTTATCATCAATTCATCTTATAGCAATTGAAATTGTTGCCTTTTACCTCTTCGATGAAGGTTAATTTCATGTTAATTTAGTTGACAATGGTGATTGATTGATTGTTGTTTAACTGTTTCACTGTTTACCCTTTTGTTTAAATCATTATCATCGCCATTTTCAAGTGTTCAACTCGTTAAGAAGCAAAAGCCATGCAATCATAATAATCTAATCACCCAACTTAACCTTCTTTCAGTTTAAATAAACTAATCATGGAAACACCTTAAAGATTTTTTAATTTGCTCAAACGATCATCATTTCAATCTATTAATCAAGTCTCACCTCAAGCTAACAACAACCAATCAGCTCAATATCCACATGAATTCAATCATTTAGCTTGAACAAATTGATTATCTGTATCACCAATAAACCATGTATCAACCTTATCAACTGATATCAAGTTCACTTGTATGAGTTTATGAGTTTTTTATTAATCTTGACAAAATAACAATTGAAACAATTTCTTCTTATTTAATCAACATCATAAAAAGAGTAACAATGTTTGATATTACAAGTTATTTATAACAAAAGCAAAGTGAACACAAAAAATCAACCAACCAAATCAGCTGACTGGTTAACAATGAATTAATAAAACAGTGTTCATTAACTGTCCCTGACCATTTCCACCAATCTAATCATTTGTTCATTTCATCCACAGATTCGTTGATGACAATAACTGAATAATTGAAATGCCTTGGGAAAATCAAATTAAAAGATCAAATAATACCCTCAACATCAACAATAACAACAACAACAATGTCATCAAGTTAAGCTCAACATCGAGTGGATCATCATTGGAAAAGATTGGAACAGAAAAGCCGAGGAAAAAGTTCACTATTCCTAGACCGCCTCAGCCATTGATTACTTTTGATAAAAATGAACTCAAAGCTCGACTCACTCCGATACAGTACAGGGTAACCCAAGAAAAGGCCACAGAAAGGTATTGACATTCAGTAAACATTAACATTTTTATTTACCTTTAACCTCCCAAACTTGACAGTTATGTCTTCCTGATAACCTCCCAGGCATTTTCATTTCAATTTTCCTTCTTTTCCCTTCCCTTCATCATCTTTCCTCTTCTTTGTCTCACCATCTTTTGTTGTTTCCTAACCCAACTCAATCGATTGGTCATTTGAATGGCCAGGCTCGATACCGGTCAATATCATTTACAAATGAAAATGATTTTGCTCGAGCTTCCATCTCCAGAGATTAGACTTACAATCATTTCCAGATTTAAACAGCTCTTCTCAACCTTTTTCACTTTATTAATCTAATTAACTGCAAATCTAATTTCACTTGAATTTACTTAAAAATGGTAATTCATGAAACTTGAAATTTACAGATTCACTTTTAATCAGCCAACTCTCGGTGAAAAATGAATGCGACTGTAACTACTTTTACTGTAAACATTTATTTTTTTTTTGGCAACATTTCAAACAATTTTACTCTGAAAACTGGATGAAAACTGAACGAAAGCAGGTTACATGTTATATTGTTTTTAAATTTAACTATTATTTACTTGAAATGATGATTATTCCGAAGTTATTATGAAGAGACGGTTTCATGGTTGGTGAGAAGATGAATATTATTCTTGTAAAGTTTAGTTCAAGGTGAACAAGATGTTTTCAGTTTCAATAAAAATTGACAGAGAGCTGAAAATAACCAGAAACTATGGTAATCATTATGATGAGTAAGACTTTCAAGAAACTGATGTTTCATTGAAAACATTAACCAATCCATTAATTGATATTAGTAGGCATTTAACCACAAATTAACTGCCATTTGTGACAAAATCATTTTCTTAAACAATCACTAAATCATCTTCCGCTTTTTTATGCTTAATCATTGTATTTAAGTCCGGAAATTATTACCTTTTTTATTACAAATATAACTCTTTCACTTTCCTTTCAAACCCAAAAATGAAGCCATTTTCATTCCAACATGATTTACCCTTTAATTTTGTCGATCATTCAAAAAACGTAAAATTTCCTGTTTTTTCATGTTATTCAATTTTTTGCACAAAAAAGTCTCAACACTCGATACTAAATATTGAGTTACACAAATAAGGTTAACAATTTGTTTGTTTCAATAATGTTTATCAAGTTACTGTGAAAATTGTTCATCACTGTTCAGTAACACATGTAAATGTTTCAACTCTCATCTTTTAATCTTATTTACTTTCTTTTTTCCGTCAGATTATCGCCATTTAAATTACATCTAAAGCTATATTTAGCCCATTCAACTGTGTTCAGTTGAATGTATTTCATATCAGATCAACAGATATTAATTAGACTGAAAGCAGTTAAAAGAGCTGTTGATTGTAAACAATTATGAGCCATTCACCTTGTTGCTGCCTTGTAGTAATTTTTAGTAATATTTTACTTCTTTTCATGTTACCCTTACCGTGAAGTTTAACTGGTAATGTTTAAGTGTTTTAATTTAGTTGCTGTTTATGGTGAGATTCATGGAGATTCAGAGTACAGCGACTTATTCATGATTCGCAGGCGAAGCTAATTTACATGATAACATTGGGGCAATATATTAATTTGCTAAGTATTTCCTTGGAAACCAGAAATGCAAGCTTTTTCAGATTATACACCTTTCACTGCGAACCAATGGTTCTTTGATTGTTTCTTGGCAAAACAATTTAGCAAACATTTTACTTTTTCATTTTCACTTTTTCCTTTGTTTTGACGCCTTTGCTTAATTGACAACCAACGTTAACAAAAAACTAGTTTCAAGGCTGGTTGAGGAAAAAGCAAGTTAATAGTTTGAATCAACTCTCGTTCAGTTACTCAACAAAATTCACTTTCAATGTAAAAGCTGAACAGACTGAACCACAGATCCAGATTGACACAACTCTTTATATTCACAATGTTACCAATACATTGTTAACCTTGATTATGATTAATTGCCACCAAAGATACACTTGTCATGGTTAAATCTACACATATGCACAGTATATAAAGATAAAATAGCGTCAAAATTGTGGCCAAACATTGTGGCTTTTTTTGAGATAGCGATCCAAACGCATAATCTTTTTTCAAATTTTGACCTCGGATCGAACCTGGCTTCAGAAGATACATTATGTGCTGAGCACGAAAAATAATACTTTTTTAATTCCTCTGATAGTGAAAAGTAGGATTTGTCGTATTCTTTAGTCAATTTGTCCATTCAACGGCACTAATTCATTTGCCATTACTTTCAATCTATAATTTTGACGAATGAGCTCACCAGGTGTTAATTTGGGTGCATAAATCTGTTTCCAGACTTTTATCCTGAATCATTTGCAATAATTCTTGACGATAGATGAGGAAAATGTTGAATTTTGACGCCAGTTCTCATGATCGCTTAGTCGCTTACTGCATTCATTAAAACTTAGTTCTGGATGTTCACTAACAGTAGAAACTAAAACTTAGCACCATTCCAATTGGATAACAAATTGAAACTGAGCTGAAAAATAAATTATATTGAAGTTCATTAATTTATCAAAAACCCACTAAAACAAGTCTAGTTTGGTGACAACATGACTGTGAGTCGCCATGCAAATTCAAATATTTTATTTCATTCTTTACTAGTCATATCCAGCAATTAATAGCTCTTTCAACCGAGGGTCACATGTCACATCAAAACTGTTAAACTTTTACGAATGTTATTTTGTTAAAGAGTGCATCGGAAAATTGACAATTTTAATTCTTGTTATTCTCAGACGTTTGTGACTTCAATTCAAAATAAAGGCATTTATATGAATATCTTGTGTTTATTAAAATCAAAAAGAAATAAAATAATAGAATCTGTAATAATTTCGGGTCATAAATTAATCCATGTCAAAGAAAATGCTTCAAGGAAATTTTACATTAATCGAATTGATAAGTATCATTGTAATTAACGAAGATTGGGATCGAGTAGTTGAATCGGTCAGTATCGTTGGAGTTGTATGAGTCTAGAAACACATAGTCGGATTGGTTAGTATCGTTGTAATTGACGAAGATTGGCATGGAATAATTGAATGAGTCAGTATCATTGAAGTTGACGAAGATTGGGATCGAGTAATTAAATTGGTCAGTGTAGTTGGAGTTGTCTGCGATTGGCACGGAATAATTGAATTGGTCATTGTCGGTGGAATTGTATGAGTCTAGGAACACATAGTCGAATGTATCGTTGGAGTTGATCGAAATTGGGATCGAGTAATTGAATTGATAAGTATCATTGTAGTTGTCTGAGGTGTTATTATCATATCGTTGATCCTCGTAGTTTGAGACTGGAGTTGAGCTGTTATATTGGTTGTACTTGCTAACAACAAAGATGTCTTCACATGAACTCAGCGAGCAAAAAGCAATACTAATGAAGAGAGCAATGAATTTCATTTTGCAAATGTTAATCAAACTTTTTCACAAGTAACTTAATTAGAACTGATGTTTTTTCCTTTGAATTGAAAACCTTTTATATTACAATTTTACTTTTCAAAATTGATTCATCTTCGATAATTTCTTAGTCATTTGATTTTCATTATTTTTTCTGATCCGTTTCATATCAGTTTATTGTTGAGCAATAATCCCGTATTTCAATTTTCATATTCGGCAATTTATCTCTTAATGTGATAAACCTGTCATAAAAACGCCAATCTATTGTTCTCAGAATGGATATTCCGTTTCTTTTTTCTCGCAGTTTCATTTCCAAGAAATTTGACTCATTTTTTTGTCTAATCAACAACTAATATCTAATTAGATAATCCGAACAGTTCCAGAATAGAAATAAAAGATTTGATCATTGCTATTGAATCGATTGTAAGTGACAAATTGTAGATAGATTTTCGAACTTTGAGTCTACAATATCGCGGTCGAGGTTTAGATTTATCGAGCTCAATTCCATCTTCTATCAACAATTTTATTTCACATAAAATTGAATCCGAGATTTCAAGAAAACAAATATTTTAATACAATGGATTCGCATTCAAGAGTTAAGCAAAAGATGGTTATTTTCATAGAAAATGATTGAACTTTACAAAGACTGTCCATTTTGAAAAGAGTTCAAGTTGAATTTTTTGGTGAATCTGAATTGCAATTCATTCCAGAAATATTATTATGAAAAGTCATCCATCGAAACGCCAATATCCACGCACAATTCGGTACAATTTAATTTAATTGACTTCTCCTATTAATATTGTGTAAATAACTCAACATTCAATGATCTATATTACATGTGAGTTGATCACCAATTGCAAAGTAAAAATTGAAAATAACTTCTAATGGTCACTTTAGAATGAGAACGGCTGAGCTCTTTGCGCAGACAACTTTCCATCAGATTTTTGATTAAGTTTTGATCACAATATGAACCATCTTTAGCTCGCCACATTGGCGATTAAATTATCCAACTAGAGAGTTGATGCGCTTTGTCGATTATTATTAGTAGATTCAAGAACCTTTCACGGTAAATGTACGAAGAAACAAAGATAATAGTGTTTCATATGGCACTCGGAGATCAGATTCTGAAATAGTAATTCAAAGTATTACTTAATTAATATCTAGTCTCTAAAGTCGTTTCTTGCCTAATTGATAGTTTTGCCTAAATCAATCATTGAATCGCTTCTTCTTTCAGCTAGCAACAACAATTAAACATTAAAATCCCAATTCAAAAAAGGTTTAAATTTTCCACAAATCAATTTGAAACCTTAACAGTTTTCAATAGCATTTACATAGTAAAACCAGCTGACTTGTTCAATTTTTCATTTTGTTTTTAATTTATTGTTCAAATGGGTAACAATTATGGCAAATTATAATTTCTGTTGTCAACCAACGTCTGATTGTTACTTTTCTTGTTACACTCTGAATTAACCTCACCCAGAAATTATTCAAACCATTGTAACATGTCAATTACAATAGCAACATTAACAAATGTGACCATTAAGTTGATTCCTCTCCATCTCGGCCTATCATTTACTTTTGGTGAGTTTAGGTTAACTCAATTATGTTAAAAACTTTCATTACTTTTATTCATTTTGACTGAACAATACAAGCAATACAACTGCTTAATAAGATTAATCTCATTTGGTTTCCATTGATTGTGTGATTAGGTCCAGGTTTACCCATTTTTCAGGACAACTTGAAAACTCTAATAATCTTAAATATAATTGTTGTAGGCGAAAGTAAATAGTTGGTAGATAATTTGAAAACGGTTGATGCTTCATTTGAAGCTTTAATTAACCAAAAAAAGAACCGAAAAAGTAATTGCTTGAAAAATGTAATTCATTCAATAACCAAACATCAATTGAAACTCGCATCTTAACCATTTCAACCCAATATAATGTTATTAATTACAAAACTCGCAGTTCCAGTGACACCCACTGTTTAAGATTGGACTCAAGTCGAGTTTAATTATAAATTTGATTAACCATCAAAGATGAGCAAACATCTCGTAAAATATGGTCATTATTGGGTTTATTGTTGCTCAAGATTAAATTGCATGTGTTGAATAAATGCTTGTCAACCTTATTTAACTTGATTTGAACATTTCATTATCGATCGTATTTTTGGTCTATCAAATGGTTCCGTCTTTGTGTTGTTATTTATTGTTGAAGGCATGTTAATGATGAGATGAACCCATCTGTGGTTGAGACTTTCATTTAATCAGCAAATGTTAAACACGTTCAATCAATTATTTTTTTCAGATCAAACTGTTTCCACTCGTAAAATGGTCCAAAAATGGGCAAATTTACGCTTCTTTTCCTCTTCCTTCATGAATAAAGCTTGACCATCTATTGTTTGTCTTGTTTGGCAAACCTTTTCATCCTCAATTTTGCTATTTGAATCATTATTACATTGATTGCTCCTTTCCTTCACTTTGCTCAGTGACATTCAATAACAAAATATCCAACATTATTTCATCCGATTTCGTGTCAATCAACAAATAACCAAATTCAAGGTTCAGCTTTTATCCTAATCATTCTGGATTCAATTCAAGAAAATCAGGAAGTTGTTTCTATTGATAAATAAATAACCTGGAAATAAGGGAATCCTAAAAATGGTTTCTTCTCATAATTTGCACAAAATTTTCACTTCAAAACCAAGTAGAGGCCTTTGGGCCTAAACTTGGCCTAAAAAAAGAAATTAAATATTTTCTCGATTTCCAATTGTCTTTGTAATTGTTTATAAATACATTGATCCTTTCTAAATCATGAATTAAATTCCATTCGATTCAAAGTAACTGCACATAATTAGCTAAAAATTAGATTTAATTAAAAATTTCGATTTCCTTGGAAGAATCGCAAAGCAAAATCACAATAGCTTTTAAAATGAAATGTATCCAACAAATCAAATTGTTTGAATTAACAATAGAAACAGATCGACTATAATCGACGATAATTTCACTAAAAATAAAATTGAGTTTTCAAAATCTTAAAAATTGATCAACTTCGAAATCAAAATTAAAGAAAATTTCGACAGTAAAAATTATATCATAATGTCAGTTGTAACTTTGAAATTACATTAGATTTCTTGTTCTATTCTGTATCTACTCATAAATCATTGTAATGTAATAATCATTAGCAGAATCAATTCGATTGTAATATTTTCTTCAAATTGTGGCATTCGACTTTTATGATTTATTTATGATTTTGAATATTTTCATTTTCGCATTGCAAAAAGATGATTTTGATTGATTTCATTTCATTCTGATAACATTTTGTATTACATTTACTAACTGAATTATCGTCAATTTCCTGTAAAATAATCGATGCCTACTATTGATAACTCACCTTTTAACGTGATTATTATTGGCCAGCCTTTGTTTTATTGTCAATCAATAATCATCATCAATGATCATCAATAATTGAACTTCTATTGACGGTCAAACTTGAAATCATTTAGAAAACATTAGAGTTCATTATCTCTTGAGAAGTTTCATGTTTTTATGAAACAATTTTATTGTTCAGTTTGTTGACAAATCATTTAAAAATAATGAATAAAGTAATTTAGTAATTTTTGTTGATTTAATTCTATTGTTTGTTTGGTTGAATAAATTAGTAAATTAACAATTCTAAAGCAATACTCGAAGAGTTATCTTTTGTTGAATCAAGGCTTAAAACACAAAAATGACAATCAGTTAAAAGTATAACAAGATTTCAAGAAATCGGCCAACAATTAGTGAATGGATTGAGCTATTATCGCTTGAAAAATCATTAACTGTAACCAACTCAACTCATTACAATTCATGGTTAGTTCAATGATTAGCTTTAATTCTGGATAAATATTTACATTGATAACTGAAGCTTTCAAATTATGAATCAAGGTAAAAACCTATTTTGAATTTTAACGAGCGAAAGGTTTATTTCAAATAATTGATTGATGACTTTCTTCAAATGTCTCAATTTTGAAAGGCTTTTAATGAAACCTTATGATTGAGATTAACATCGGTTCAATATCCAATTTGAGATTTGTGTTTAAATGGATTGATTACTTTAAATCAATATCTTTGATTATAAATAATTGAACGGTTCTACTCGATGAGATGGAAAACATTTCTATCGTTAGAATTGATTTCTTTAAGATGTTTAGCTAAGATTGGGATACATTTCATGTTTATTTCAGACTTTAATTGTAAATCTTGAAGACTGTTCGTCTTGCGGTTTCTTGTTAAATTGCGACTTTATTTGGATTAAATTATAACCCATTCCTAATTGTCTTGATATACTTAACCTGAAAAGTTAAACATACAAGTATAATTAGATTTTATTGATACTTTGCACAATTATGACAATCAATTTTGTAATGGATTTAAAATGCATCAAACTATTGTTATTAAACAGTAGTTGATCTTATTTTTTATTCAATGAAAATATGTTGATAAATGATGCTGTTTAAGTCTTATAATTAGATATTGAAAAAAGCAACTGCTGGTGAAATTGGATTGACATTTGAAACTGTACAATCATGTCAATCAAACTTTGACCCATTTCCATTTAATTGTTGAACCATGTTTTGAAATTTTATTAATATCTTTTATTTCACCTTTTTTAGACCATTTTCTGGTGAATATTTGAAACTTAATGATAATGGATTGTATTGCTGCTCAGTTTGTGGCGAAGAGCTTTTCTCATCTCAATGTAAATATGATTCTGGTTGTGGATGGCCTGCTTTTTACGATATCACAAATCCTAGTAAAGTTGCTCTCAAGCCCGATCTATCTCATGGTGAGTGTCAATTAACGAATGTTGGAGATTTAAACTTCAATTTAAACTCTGTTTTGAGACGCACTAACAGTTGTTTAATTTCAGTAATTTGACCATTGAATTTGCATTTCATTAATGGTTTCCTTTGCTTTTCAGTTGGAGGTAATTTACTTTTACTTGCCATCAAACCAGATCTTGTGAGAACCGAAGTCAGTTGTGCCAAGTGTGGATCTCATTTGGGACACGTATTTGATGATGGTCCTAAACCGACTGGAATCCGATATTGCATCAACTCAGCAGCTTTGAAATTCAACCGAGTTACCAAAACAATAAACTTAAACGAAGATAAAGTCGACAATAATCCGGATCTTTCGATTGCCACCAAATAATTTTAACAAAAAAATGTCATCTTTTCCTGTTCCTCTTGCTACTTTCATTCGTGACCTCATCATTGAAATAATTTCAAATAAAAATTATTATCCATTCAATTTTTAACTATTTACCAACATTTCACATAAACGTGGTAATTTAATAACGAACAATCTAGAATATGAGATTGTTGATGCATAAACAATATTGGTAGGGAATGGTTGCAGTTGCTCTTTACAGTTAAATCTATATCATTTTAATAAATTTGATAATGACATTAAAAGTTGATAACATTTTGATTAGCGGTTCATTATTTTCTGGCTAAGGCCATGCCAAGACCAACAAGCCCACCGACAACGAGAGCTGCTCCACCAGCAATAGCTGCTCCTTTAAGACCATCTCGCTTGATTCTATCCTTGATTATCTTCTTCAGGTCACAGGCTTGTCTATTATTAGGCTCAGCTAACAGAAATTTGTCAACACAGTCCAGGGCACGACTATAATCACAAATCTTGGTGTTAGCTATGGCAAGATAGAAAAGGTAATCTCGCTTTTCTTCACCTAATTGACTGCTACACAATTCCTCTAACAGATTAATTCCTCGGTTGATATCAGCTCGATATTTACTTCTAATCAAAGACCAAGCATATTCGAATTGCGTTTGAGAAGTTAAAGTCCCATTTCTTCGACTTTCTGTATAGTTGCTTTCGAAATTTTTCAGATCTTCTGGACTAATATAATCTTCTAATAACGCCTCCATTTCAAAATTATTAATACAGATGATTTTAAGGGAAAACTGAAAGAGAAAGATGAAATATTTACATTTATTAAGTCATTCTTTAATACGTAGATAAAAGTGCAAATCGCATTACTTACCTTAGATGTTAAAATCGAATCAGCAGGAAAATTTTTAAACCAATAAATTAACTAAGAGAACAAGGTGAAATTCCAGTAAAAAAATTAACAGTAAAATTTAAAGCAAATAGCAGTAATTGACAGTGATTAGATTTAAAAACAGTAAATGCACGAACGTACAGTTTTTCAGTCAAAAATGTATAATGTTGGTGAATTGCAATTGTTTTTATCACTGAAAGATGGAGCAAGTGAGCAAATTAAAATGTTAACTTACAATTAGAGCCATCTATTGTTACAAATCCCTTTTAGACTAGCCTCCAATTTCAATCTTTTTAATGATTCGTAAGACTCGTTTTAATAATTGATAATTTATTATGAGCTCATAATTCACATTCTTCGATAAAATTAACGCAAATTATAAGTATTTACCTTTAATACATTTACAGTTAAAGCTTTCTTAGGTCGATTGCATGCAATCGGTGCGGTTACAACATATGTTTGTTTCGATTACATTGTTTTGATTTGAGCCTGAGTAAGTTTTAACTGTTTTTTACAATAAATGGTAATTTACATATTTGGATTTTTATGAACAAAATTAGATCATAATTATAATATTAATAATTGTTTTGAACTTTTGCATTTGCTTTTACATAGTCTTTCTATCATTCTAACATCTGATTCAATATCAAATAAGATAAATATGAAAATAATGGAGGTAAGTGAAGGAAACATAAAACGAAAGACAGCAAAGAATATTTTCTTGGATGAAGAATCAGTGTCATCGGTAAAAAGAGCTCTTTCCATGGGTTGGACTTGAAAAAAGTACTTTATGAAAAATCTTTGTGTTGTCTTGCTTTGAAGAGATTTGTAGATGCATATGTAAGTTGTTGCAGTAACTAATGAATGGTTCAGCGGATGATAACCAAACTGATTGGCGAATTGTTGCTAATGGTTGCTGTCTTGGGCTGTATTTTCATCTGTTAAATGATATCGACATGTTGAGCGTTGACCATAACATATGAACATATACACAAAACATTAGAAAAACTTAGGAGAAACAGAATTAACAAAAAGTAAATTTTTTAACAGTACATTAGTTTTCTAAGCATTTCATAAGAAGCATTTATAACACCCCATGAAATGAAGGATCTAGTGAAATTTAGATGGACCCCATAGTAAATTTTGGTGATACTTCGCTGACGTTCTTCATAAACTAACTTTATGGCACTAGAAATAGACAGAAATTGACTTCCACCGGTTTGGGTTTGCACTTTAGTTTTGATCACATTAACCGGATAAAATAGGGTACTAATCAAGGCACCAATTAGAGCCCCTGATATAAAATTCGTAACCACTTCAGACCACCAAACATCATAAGAAGGAAGAACATCCTTTACTCTTCCTCTGAAGCTAAAGAAAAGTACATTTGAAGGTCCATTGCGAATAAGAATAGGTGTTAAACCTCGATAATATTCTTTGATACCAAATTTACGAAGCTCCTTAAATGCATGGAAAGTGTTATGAAATTGGTGGTTATATTTAGGATCTTGTAATAAGGTTTGAACCCTTTCAAAAGGTGTTAGAACTGCTTCCGTGCAACCAGCGAGTAATGCAGAAACCGTTAATTTCAGGTTAGGGTGAGATGTAAACAAATTAAAGTGAGTATCGAGAAGATTTTGAAATTGACTGAATGTTCCAAACATAAGAGAAACTGAAAAAGATAATTGAAAATTAGTGATTGCAAGATTACAAATTTAAAGTTATCTAAAGCCATTTCGTACCACTTAACGTTTTCTGTAGTAAAGGAGGCAATAAGCCTCGATATAATTGGTACAATCCTTCTTTTCTCATCTGATCTAAGGCTGAATTAGTTTTTATTCCATAAACCATTTGACGAAACATAACCTTATTTATGGGAAATGTTATACAAATATTTATAAAAGCTGCTCCATAGCCACAGAAAAATTCACGGTAGTCTTTCTTATCATCAAGTAGCCTATCAAAAGACTGACTATGCGGATGGGACCAAACTGATGATTGCTTCTTTGATTGTTTACTAGTTGATTTTGATTCGAGTTCCATGTTTAGATATTAGTTTCCTAAAAGATGAGTTGAGTCTTTAATTAACAGCTAGTAAGGAAAAGCAAACAGATGACTGACTATTGGTTATTTCGGCAAAAATTGAGTAGCACACAATACAAGTTGCAGGGTTCAAAATCACAACTACAATTAATTTGATGAACTTTTATACAGCGACAGCACCAGAGATACCCGTGTGTAAATCATATCTGACCAAAACTGATACATATGACATTGACTTGGTATTGTAGAAGAATGTTGATGATGAAGTGCCAAGAATGGGAAAATTAATATAAAGAACAAAGAAACAGAAAAAGGAAAATAAAAACAAAAACAATAATTCTGGTGATCAAATTGACAAAGTGGACAAACACATTAATGAACACAGTTAGTTGATGAAAATCATCAACACCATGAAGCTTGACCTCATGAAATTGATAGAGAAGAGAACAGTGGAGGTTGACAAGGATGTTGGTGATAAGGGTTTTGTTGCTTTAATTGACTCATACTACAATATTAGTAGCCCTCTAAGAACAGGCTATCACTAAACTCGTAAATAAATCATCAGCATCAAAATAATAATTAATATTTACAAAAAAAAACATAAACAAGGAAAAAGTAGGTCTACAGTGAAAAGGTAACTTCAAGGAGACTCATTCTCTTCAAATGGATCTGCGTAGGACTTGACTCACTTTTTGTTGACAACAACCTTTTACTTCTTTAACATCATACCTGATTCAACTCACCTGATCACAGTAATTTTTGGTTATCTGGATAGACCTTTAACTTGTGTATAAATCACCTCTAAATTGTTAATATTGGAAAACCACCTAGATTGTTGTCTCTAGTTAATCATCAAGATGAACATAAGCATAACCGATATCTGTGAAAACACTAAAATGGGTAGAGAGTTTGCTCTTCTTGGAAATTATGAAACTTCATTGGTGTATTATCAAGGAGTTGTTCAACAAATTCACAGATTACTTCAAACTATCAGTGATCCTATTAGAAAAGAAAGGTGGCAAGAGGTAAGTTATTTTTATTGTAATTTGATATCATATAATCTATATTAAAGTAAATTCAGACTAAATCTGGTAAGTTTTTTTCTAACGTTATTCTATAGTTAAAATTCCAAACCGTTACTTGTTTAATTGCTCATTGAGTCAACTTTCAGATGGCTCCTTTTTATAGTATAAAATCAATTACCCACAATAAAATCTATTTCTTTCTCATTTCAGATTCAACAAAAGATTGCTGAAGAATACGGTTATGTCAAAGATATTCAAAGTCTATTAGTTGGATTTAGAGGTATGATCCGTTGATATCATTTGGTATTTGACGAATATTGACTTATTGTTGCCTTTTAAATATCAAGGTTTATGATGTGCTGATTCATTTACGATTCTCAAGCTGATGACGATGATTGAGATAACCTGATTTATAAAAGGCATACAATTATTCCAATATTCATTTTTAAACCAATTCAGTTGAACCTCTGATTAATTCCATTTGTTTACTCTTTTTCGTCATCTAGGTGATCATCACAATAACCGTGTTGTTGGACCCATTCGTCAAACATCTCCAGCTTTTACTCTACCTGACCCTGACCCTGATATCTTTTGGCCCTTGGGCAGTATTAACAACTCACCGCGAGATGCTGACGTTTGGGCTCCACCACCAGACCCAAAGCCTGGCTCAAATGCCAAAAATTCTAGGGCATCTAAAAGTACTTCAAGTAAAATGACCTCTTCGGCTCGAACTCCAACGAATAAAAGTATTTCAGCCAAAAAGACAAGCAATAGTGATGGACGCAGCACAAGTAAAACTAATAGTAGCTCACAAGGAACCAGTGAAGGCGGCCCTAAAAAGAAAGGAACTTCAGCGGGTAAAGAGGAAGCTGAAAATCTAGCAGAAAAGAAATTCGAGATTCATGGCCCTGATGCTGAACTTGTAGACATGTTAGAACGTGATATTCTTCAGAAAAATCCAAATATTAAATGGGATGACATTGCAGATCTACATGATGCCAAAAGATTACTTGAAGAGGCAGTTGTGCTTCCCATGTTATTACCCGACTTTTTCAAAGGAATAAGACGTCCATGGAAAGGTGTTTTGATGGTGGGACCACCTGGAACTGGTAAAACGATGTTAGCTAAAGCTGTTGCAACAGAGTGTGGTACCACTTTTTTCAATGTTTCATCTTCAACATTGACTTCAAAGTATCGGGGTGAATCAGAAAAATTGGTTCGCATTTTATTTGAAATGGCAAGATTTTATGCTCCAAGTACTATCTTTGTCGATGAAATCGATTCACTTTGCTCAAGACGTGGATCAGATACCGAACATGAAGCAAGTCGTCGTGTTAAATCAGAGCTACTCATTCAAATGGATGGTATAACTAATAATGAAGATCCAGCCAAAGTGGTCATGGTTTTAGCAGCTACCAATTTTCCTTGGGACATTGATGAAGCTTTGAGGCGTCGTTTAGAGAAGAGAATTTATATTCCATTACCCAACAAAGAAGGACGTGAAGCCTTACTCAAAATCAACTTACGTGAAGTTGAAAAATCTCCTGATCTAGATATTAGTGATATTTCTATACAATTGGATGGCTATTCAGGAGCTGATATTACCAATGTTTGTCGTGATGCATGCATGATGGCTATGAGGAGGAAAATTGCCGGTTTGACTCCTGAGCAAATTAGAAATTTATCCAAAGATGAGCTTGAATTACCCGTCAGTCCGGGTGATTTTTATGAGGCAATAAGAAAAGTAAATAAATCAGTTTCCGAGGAAGATTTAATGAAATATGAAAAATGGATGGCTGAATTTGGTTCAACTTGATTTAAGTTAATGTTACCACAAAACATAATGATGAATATATCAAGCCTTTCAAATCGCTCTTAAATTTAATTCCACCATTTCCCGGTTCAGAACCTTTAGTTTATTTCTACAACTATGGAATAAACATCTTGTCATACAATCTGGATTTAGATGCACTTGTTAAGGTAACTCTGTAAATACCCAAAGTTTTATTTTTTTCAAATTACCAATGTTAATTGGTGAAATAGTTGATTTTATCCAAATGAAATACTTTAACACTTAAATTTGTTGAATTTAATCTTTCATAATATTTTATATTTTTAATGCCATTTGACTAATTCGTCCTATTCTATGCCTAAAAGAAACAACATGTCAATTTAATAATACTTAAGTGAAACCCAATCAATCAAACACAACTCTTTACTGACTCAACTCATAATCTGACAATTCCTACCTGTGCACTTACATTTAATTATTTTGAAGCAATCTTTAATTCTAAGTAATTTTAACATGTTGACAGTGAAACGAAAATAAAATTTACCTTGTTATTATCGAAAAAACTCTTTCATTATCAAATGTAACCATTCTGGTTAATCAATTTTCTTTATAAAATAGATTATGTATTGTTTAATATTTGAATCATGGGAATAAAAACTGATAGGAAATCATAAACCTGTAGATAATTTGTTGACCTTTATCCTCATTTATCATGTATATTTCGCCATTAGATTGTCACAATGGCTCAGTTGTTATTTATTACAAGGTTGATTATTCAAGAGAAACTGAATGAAACAATTTGAGTAGGCAATCTTAATTATCACAAAATACGTAGGTTTACAACACTCGTCATAAATTATATCAAACATGTCCTCGATATCAAGCTCAACTATTGAATATTGACTTTAGTTGTTTCAAAATTTGGCTAATTCTTAACTATAATAAAAGGATAGAAATGAGCTTTAAATTTGCATGATAAATGCTTTCAATCGAAAGATTTGCCACTAAAAAATCACTCTACCAAAGACTGGAGGAAGGTCTTCTCCACTCTTTGATATTAACCCTTCACTTACCTTGATGTTTACATTGTGATACAGTTAAGTCTCTGTTAACACGTGAAACCAATGGAATTAGAAAATGGTTCGATAAGTTAATAATTTTTACTGTTGCACAAGAAAAATAAATGCATGTAAGTCATGCTCAAAGTTACGAGTGATACAGAATCGGTTGAGAAAAACCAACAGACAATACCAAGGTTACTCCAAAACCGGCAATTTTGTTGGAAAGAGAAAGGCAAAAACCCCATTTAATGTTGCTATCTGCTGATGACAAAAAAAGTTAACTTAGCTTTTACCATTTCTTAAGTTTTTTCATTTCTTTTTTCACCAAATATTTCTGTAAAATAAAATATTTATATTATCTAGGTTCTGAATGTTTATCTTGAGTGTTACTCGTCAATAATAGAGCATCAGCATCTTCCATCACACAGTCATCATCATTGAACATCGCACCACCAAACAGAAACCACGCCACCCTCTCTTTCTCCCATCTGTCTATTTTCTTTCCTCCTATCTGTCTTCTATTTCTCTCTCTCTCTCTCTACCTAACTCACTATTTTTACGCAACATTACTGACTTTTCTTTTTCTTCATCACAATCTATTCTCACTTGTCAGTGATTCCAATAAATGTGTGACCTTCAATTAATTTAGTTGATGCTAAATTAAAATATTAAAATTGTAAGTCTGCAACATTTCTTTCGATATGCTGTTGAAACCATGTTAATCAACTCTTTTCTCTCTTTTTCCAATGTTCATCTCTCTTAACCTTTGCTCATCTTTAATTCGATGTGTTAACAAACCGACTTCTATTAATTCCATCATTTGTTCTTTATTAATTTCGATCTGTTTCTAGAAATCAAAGGACCAGGTTTATTCAAGTGTTTTTCACCGGGGGCTATAACTTGTCGGCTACAATTATCCGACTATTTTTCTAGACCAACTTGAAGATTTTGTACTTTTCTTCTTGTTTAACTTATTAACCCTTTCCATCATCACAAAACATTATACTCATCTGCTGGAAAGAGTTTTGTTTCACGGACCATGGAAACCGTTTCAAGTCAACCAACTATTCAACAGTCAAGTCATTTATCACCAAATTATTCTTACATTTTCCAATTTGAACAGTCATTCGAGTATCAAAAAAAGAGGGAATGGATGCAAGAACATTGGCATGAGGCTTTCTACTATGTTGCTGTTTACATGCTCCTTGTCTTTGGCGGTCAAGCTTACATGGCAAACCGGCAACCATTTAAATTGAGAAGAATATTAACCCTCTGGAATACAATGTTGGCTACATTCTCAATTATTGGTACCTTGAGGTATGTACTTCATTCCCTCACAACCCATTTACTTTGAAATATTTGTTTTTCATCATTCTATCATCCTTGACTTTCCCACTTTACCATTGAAGTTTCCTATCCTAACAAACAGATCCATTATTTACAATATTAGTTTTCCCGTAACTCAGTCAATCTTTACTCAGTCTCTTCATATCTCATTATTGGTTATTTGATTTTTCACTAGAATCATTAGAGTCATTAACGGATTCACTCACTCATGAAAAGGCAGTGAATGTTGCTGACAAAAAATGTTACAATATTTTTTTCATGTTGAAATCCTTTTTTTCGGAGAAACATCAGTTAAAAACAGTACTTTGTACTCGAACTAAAATCATTCAAAAGTTATCAATACGATAATTTTGTCATTCAACAAGTTTCATTTTATTGATTGATATTGATATGAGTGGCTATTCAGTATCTTGAAAAGTTGAAAGTCCAATAAATCTTTGAGAAGTTATATCAGAATTTTTAGGATCAGCATGTTTTAATCCACTCACCGCAACTCAGCCAATCATCAAATTCAACCCATTCAGTATTCAATGATATCATTGTACACTGATAAGAAGATTGATTTGTAGATGCTATCAAAATGTAGTATTCATCAAAATAATGTACCTTTCATTAATTGAATTCTTGTCTTATTTTTGCAGATTTTTACCCGAAATGTTCCATGTATTTAATAATTTTGGATTCTACCATACAGTTTGCAATCCGAGTTACATTGAAATCACCCGAGTTTCAGGTTTCTGGACATGGATGTTCACCTTATCTAAAGTTCCAGAATTAGGCGATACTATTTTCATCGTTTTGAGAAAACAGAATTTGATCTTTTTACATTGGTACCATCATATAACAGTTCTATTATTCACATGGTATAGTTATGGTCAACATATTTCACCTGCCCGTTGGTATGTTGGTATGAACTACATGGTCCACTCAATTATGTACTCCTATTACGCCGCTAGAGCCCTTGGATTCAGAGTACCAAAGAAATTAGCAATGCTTATTACCGTTTCTCAAATAATTCAGATGATTGTTGGAGGTTTTGTAACCTATTATGGATATGCCAAAGCTCAACAGGGTATCTTCTGTCAAATCCCCGAAGGAACAGCCAAATTAGGTTTAATTATGTATGGAAGTTACTTTATACTTTTTGCCAATTTCTTCGTCAATGCTTACACCAAACCAAAAGGAACCAGTGCAACTTCATCTTGCATAGAATCAAAATCAAAAGCAAAAACCCAGTGATCTAAGAAAAGATAACCTAAAATCTCAAAGAAATTCTCCATCAAAGCTTTCTATTGTTCGACCCATGTCTTGTTTTTTGTCAAAATTTAGCTATAAAATGTATAGCTTGATTACCAACGAAAACAGATTTATAATTTGAGTCAGATGACAAAGTTATTAGTTGAGCAAAAATGATGATTGTCTAATCATTCTTCAACTTTCTAATTTATAAAAATTTCCAAACTAATGTTATTAAATTTCATTTGTATTGGTACAAAATAAATTTAATCGACTTATAATTCAATTTCTAAATAAGTTTGCTTCAATAAAAGTGACAAATCAAAGTATAAAAGCTTATAAATTTTCTGATATTCTAATCATTCAAACCTTTTATTGAATTTTCAGACTTTAAGTACCTGAATAACAATGAATGCATTATGTCGAGACTGTCATTCATTATGCATTCAATTTAAAAATTAATCCCTTAAAACAAAAATCTTCATTTTATTCAATTTTTTGATCAGTTAAAACAATATAGAATAGAAGCTTTCTCATCAATAATCAGCTTAAAACTATTCAACTTAAACTTCACTTCAGCGGATCTTTTTACCTAAGTTAAACATTCCGAAAGCTAGTTGCCAGGTTCAAATTTGAGAAGATTTAATTTACGAAACCTGTGAATATATTTTCCATGAATTTTTACTAACCTTCCAGTCAAATAACACAAACGACAGAAATGCGCGCGGTTGAGTAAACTTTCATTTAAGACGCCGAAAACGCATTCTGTGAATTTTGCTCACTTTCGTATAAAAATGTTCATGACATAAAATAACATCCAATTTTGATAAAACCCTAAACCCTAGCCTTCCTTGGCAAGCCTGGAATATATCAGATCTCAGTTTATAATCAAAATATTATGTCCGGTACAAATTATCAATTTTATTTTATGAATCTTTACTTCCATCTATTTCAAAATTCAAATTATCGCGGGTCTAATTGAGCAACTCGTTTAACATCAACAGCTGAGACATTTGTTGTTTTGATTCAAATTTTTACTTATTATTTTGTTTTAACTCGACTAAAATGGATGATTATGCCATCGTTAATTCCTCTAAATTAAAGCTTAAAGGAGAAAAAAGGTAAGAAATAAATTTAATCATAATGAGTAGCTTCTAATGCTGTTTTTTGTTTTAGGAAAATAAAGAAGAGCAAGAATAAAGATAAGCGTTCTAAAACTGACTCTGGAACTGACAGTAATAATGAAGATGCATTAAGACATGGTGAGTAAACATTTAAATTGACCATATACAAAAACTAATGCAGTTTTGATCTTTATGTTTTAGGAGGATGGGTGTGTTTGGATTCCATTGAAACTATAACCGGAACAATCGCCTTTGAAATGTTACCTTATTGTTACATTAGAGCCATGGATAATGGACTACTAGCCGTTGGAGATCCACATGCACCCGGTGAACCGCCATATGAAGAGGAAATGTTTACTGCTATAAAAATTTCTGAAACACATCGAGCTTTCAAATCTGGTTATGATAAATATTTAAGCATTGACAGTAATAATAGAGTTGTGGGTCGATCCGATGCCATTGGTCAAAGAGAACAGTTCGAGCCAGTTTTCCAGGACGGTAAATTAGCTATAGTAGCATGCAATGGTTGTTTCATATCTGCTGATGATAATGGTTATATCGTGTCTAAAAGTCAAAAGGCTGGACCAGATGAGATCGTGAAGATCCGTTCAAATGTAGATCCAGAAGCTGTGAGGAGAGAAGTTGAAGAATCCAAAGTTCCAGAAGAAGAGAAAGGAACACTTGAAGATTGTGAAGAAAAGTATATTAAGAAATTCCAAACAGGAAAGATTAGCAAAATTCTCACAAAAGGTGGCAAAGTCCTAGAATCTGCGAAAGAGGAAGGAAGATTGCACGAAGCTCTTTTGGACAGGAGAGAGAAGATAAAATCTGACAAGTTTTGTAAATGATTGTGATCAACACTTTTTCTAATTTATCGATTCAACTTTCATCTTGAAACATCTTAACTGTATTAAAGCACTGCAAACGTTCGTCTTCAACAACCTATTTCTACAACTCATTAGCGCGAAGCTAGTTTTTATCTAGCTCATTGAATTTGACTTTCAACATTTTTCCAAATTAAAAGTAGCAATGGAAACAAGTCTGTCAAAGATTAAGATCAAATGTCAGAGTGTCGAATAATTCAATATTTTTGCTTAGCTTCGGCTTATCCTACCAAAACTCATAATTTTGAGTCTTTTAGCTTTAAATTAATGCTTTTTTGACTAAGCTATCGTTTTTAAAATAAAAGATTGAAATATTAATAGTTGGCTTAAGCGTTAAATATATCATAGAGGCAACAATCTTCATATGTCTCAATCAGCCAGCTTGAAAGTCTAGAATAGAGTCAAACTTGTGATCACGCCAATGCCTTTAGTGGAACCGAAAATGAAATTTTTGCAAGACAAGAGGCTTAACATAAAGTTAAAAAATTGTAATGCTTAAGACAGAAATGACATGATTAAATAGTATCTCGATTCGAGTAATTTAATAAAGTAGGGAAAAACGTACTCTACTCAACTTCCTATTCAAGAAAAGTAAGAACTTTATACTAAAGTCAAAAGAATGGTCAATTTTTAATTTTCATTAATTACCTTTTAATAAGATAGAAATACAGATTAGTATTAATAATGCGTAATAATACAACTGAATTACAAGATTTATATCCATTGCCTGCAGAAATGAAAGCCATTTGCATGTAGATAAAGATGATAATCACAAGAGTAAAATTAAATCGAAATCAAAGTTGAACAGAATTGAATAGAACTGGATGAAATACTAACGATAATCAGAAGAAAATTCTCTTATTTATAGTTCGTTTAATATAAATACGATTTATTTAAACATCTAAAAAATGAATCATTGTTTGGTTTCTGGATTGTGTTTAAACATTAGTAATTAAATTAATATTAGTTGATGCTAATTTATTCAAACAATGGCAGAGTCTCGCAGCTGTTGTAATAAGATGTGTTGGGAATCAAGATTGGGATCAATAATCATTTTTGCGGTTAGACAATGTTCATGGTGAAGAATCTCTAAGATACGGGAATGGCTCAGCTCCTCATCTTACTGTTAACAATTATTAGGTTTAAAATGAAGGTTCATTATTGTTTATTTGAAGTTATGAAGTTAGGCACTGCCATTAGATAGGTGACCACGATTGTAGCTAAATTTGGTAAAATATCCGGAGTAATGAGGAAAATGCCCATAAATTTGATTCCACAGGATTGTTGGTTCAATAAATCCATGAAAATCAAAGCCTATTGAAAGTAAAATCAAATTAATTGTTGAATAAAGATATTGACGAGTACAGACACTAACCTCTGATTTGAATGTGTTGCTCCTCTCAACCAAAGTCGACAAATAAAGATCGTCAAGAGCCAGTCCAGGACAGGAGTGAAAGCCAAGTAAAACCGGGAAAAATATTGACATTGCGATAACATATTGGAAGAAGAGCAGAACATAAACGATACTAGATTGTAGGTCAAGAGGCTTGTAACCTAAATTGTAAAGAATTAAAATGATGTTTGGAACAATCGTTGAACAACAAACTGTCACAAATCGTCTAAAGCCAAAATCACACAGTTCAACACATCGAACCAGATCATAATGTTGATGGCGAAGACGATAAATAGTCAAATCAGAAGCATAGAAATCCCTAACAATTTCAGTGATTCGACGATGAATATAGTGATGACCAACCTTAATGTAATTCCCAGCAATAACAAAACCTCGAAAAATGTTGATGAATATTAAATGTGAATATATTTCAATCAATTTGTTGCCAAGAAAATAAAATTTATCTGAACTGTTACTTGAACCGATATGGTTTAGATATTCAATTGCGCCAGTAATAAGTGTTATACTAGAACCAGTTGTGAATATTATGCTCGAACTGATGTTGGCGAATTTCTGTGATTCCCGGAGTTCGTCAATAACTGCTGATTCTTTCGATAATGGCAATTGAGACCAAATCATGTCAAATGATTCAATGAATTGTGCAGATGGATAGACTAAGGTTTCCAAAACAGTGCACAAAAGCCAAGTCGTGGAGACGATATAAGTGATGAAGAAAGAGTCTATTGATTTTGGACTAAAATTCGTGAAAATTTCCACTACAAATAATGTTGTTTTAATTGATAATACAGTAAGCGCCAAAAGTGAGTAAAAATAATAAAACCATCGATACCTAAATATCCAACGATTGATGAAAAAACTGTTTACAATTGAATTGTAAATTGATGTTGTTGGACTCTTCACTGTATTATGTGAGACTTTAATTTCATATAAACTATACACATCACTAATCATCTTGCTAGAAACAATTGTCACTGAAAACTGCAAAATTAATCAATTTCTGGGTTTTCTTTTTGTCCATGGATTGCAAGTTTTCTGGTAACATTGGATAACCTGTAAACATACATTGGTCGATTAAGTAAATCGAATGGTCTTTCTGCAATAATCAATGAGTGATATGATTGCACTTAAATGAAGTTCAAAAAGATTTCTCAACTGAATAGCTTGATCAGAAGGACCACTCTGAATACAAGGGACGTCTTTATTGTAGCATTTGGTTTAAATGGATGGAAGGACACACAATACAGCAAAGTATCAAATAAAGATGACAGTGAAGAATCGATTACAATTAAAATTAACAAATCTAAACAGCAACTCTAATTGTTGATTCTTAACGTCAACGCTGACTATTCCTCAATTTTGCTAACTTAATTCCAGCTCTCCTTAAAGGCTGAGCGAAAGCTATTACTTTCAAAAAATACTTTTATATCAGATAAACGGGAGTTCATTAATATAAACTATATGAAGAGAAACAATACTTGGAAATTAGTTAGCTTACCAGCTGCTGTACATTAAAGTGTATCAGTATATTGTGATAGCGATTATGCTTCTTTTATTTTAACCAACAACAACAATTCAGTTACTTTTATGCAGTAGAGAAAAACGTACTCCACTCCGCTTCGTATTCAAGAAAAGTAAGAACTTTATAAAGTTAAAAGAATGGTCAATTTTTAATTTTCATTAATAACCTTTTAATAAGATTAAAGAAATACAGATTAGTATTAATAATGCGTAATAATATATTAATACTTGAAAGCTGAATGTGGCAAAAGCCTCGTGATTCAATTAGGTTTGGGTGTAGTGGTTGACGGCTTTGTTAATTTACAGTACTGGGCTAAAACTACACAAAAAGATATACGATTAAAGCGACCAAAAGAACCAGACCTATTACCATGATCCTTGACAATTTTTTTACATGCTTCGATTCGGTAGGTTCTCTCTGGGTTAATATCACAGAACTTTTCTAGTTCCTCGTCAGTCGGTGCTCTACCATCTTCACACTCATAGCGTGGGAGGAGTTCAACTGAATTACAAGATTTATATCCATTGCCTGCTTTAGGTTTGGGTGTAGTGGTTGGAGTGGTTGGAGTGGTTGGAGTGGTTGGAGTGGTTGGAGTGGTTGGCGGCTTTGTTAAAGTACAGTACTGGGATAAAGTAAAACAATAAGGTTCAAAAGTAAAGCTCTGAAAAGGACCAGTGTCACCACCATGACGCTTGATAAAACTTTTACATGCTTCGATTCGGTAGACTCTCCGTGGGTTAGTATCACAGAACTTTTCTAGTTCCTCGTCAGTCGGTGTTCTACCATCATCACATTCATTGCGTGGTGGGAATTCACGTGGCGTGCAAGATTTATATCCATTGTATTTAAATGGAATGGCAGAAATGAAAGCCATTTGCATGGAGATAAAGATGAAAGTCAGCAAGATTACTTGAAGCTTAGCCGAAGACATTTCTTTATGTTGATAATCACAAGAGTAAAATTAAATCGAAATCAAGTTGGACAGAATTGAATAGAACTGGATGAAATACTAACGATAATCAGAAGAAAATTCTCTTATTTATAGTTTGTTTAATATAAATACGATTTATTTAAACATCTAAAAAATGAATCATTGTTTGGTTTCCGAATTGTGTTTAAACATTAGTAATTAAATTAATATTAGTTGATGCTAATTTATTCAAACAATGGCAGAGTCTCGCAGCTGTTGTAATAAGATGTGTTGGGAATCAAGATTGGGATCAATAATCATTTTTGCGGTTAGACAATGTTCATGGTGAAGAATCTCTAAGATACGGGAATGGCTCAGCTCCTCATCTTACTGTTAACAATTTTTAGGTTTAAAATGAAGGTTCATTATTGTTTATTTGAAGTTATGAAGTTAGGCACTGCCATTAGATAGGTGACCACGATTGTAGCTAAATTTGGTAAAATATCCGGAGTAATGAGGAAAATGCCCATAAATCTGATTCACAAGGAGTTTTGGTTCAATAAGTCCATACACGCCTGGAAATGCGTACTCAATAAAATTCTCAGATTTAGTGCAAATTTTGCGTTTGATATGCTTTTATGCGCTAAACGCTAGCCTAAATTTCTAGAAATATGGAGTCGGATAACATCTGAACTTGATTCGAACACATTTCACACTTAATCTCACTTGTCTATCTATCTATCAGAGAGACTTGGTAACATAGGAGCTCGAGTACAGGAACCAGAAAAAAATGTATCTTCAAAACGATGAGGAAAAGATGGAACCTGGGATTCTAGTCATCCGGATGAACCCCACTTCCAGCTTGAAAAATTGACCCATTCGTTAGTGCAGTTGAGTGCAGCTACAAGTGCATGTTTTACTTTTAATCTTGTTGCATGAGACAAATGAATCTACTCAAGTCCAAATCTTAATCACGAGTTAATTGAGAAGTCAGACCAGTAAAATTTACATAGTTGATCAAACGAATCTTGCACTTTAATTAAAATTAAAATTTATTATCAAAAGCTCTGATCAGCATTAATGTTGATTAAACCAACAATTTTTGTACTTGATTCAATTGTTGATTCAAAATGATCAGCAATTATGAAGGAGGATGTCAAATTGAATAAGGACGAAAGTTATTTTCAGATCGCTGATTAAATACTTTTGTCAATCAACATTAATCTAAAGCTTGAAATCCATATCTTCACTGATTGAAATTTATTAATACTACCATTCAGTTATTGCATGACAATTAGAATTTCGTTCACTATTAAATTTCATTGAGAAAGGGTTGTTAGATTTTTTGGAATGAACTTGTTTTAAACTTTCAACCTGAATAATTTACAAGAGGTGGTTAAAAATTTCGCTGCTGATCCAACTAAATCAACATTTATGTATGCTAATCAGAGCTTTTGATTATAACTAGAGATTTGAATAAATTTGAAATTCGTTTAATCAGCTGTGTAAATTCGTCTAATTAAACTTTCACTTAAGCTCGTGATTAAGATTTGGAATTAAGTCTGTCTTCATTTGTCTCATTTCAGATGCAACAACATGATAGGTGCTTTGAACGATTTATTAATATTAAGATGAGAAATGATAGGGATGAAGATTATAATACTTTGAGCAATTTTAATTAATTGTTCGCAGTTTATGCGACATTTGAAGATCTTTTGATGAAAGTAAAATCTGTAAGCATATCTTTGTTCGCAGCATTTAATATTGATATGAGTCATTGTATGATGATTGTAGATTCATAAAACTCAAGTTTGAGTAGTATATTAAAACCAGGATTCACACCACCTAACGCCACTTTCTGTTGCTTTTGCGGAAGCGTCATTACGGTGGTGTCAACCCTGGTTTTTGCGAGAAAAAGAGCTTAGTCAATAACATCGGTGTTAAACTGGTTTATTGAGGTGATTCACAAACGTGATAGAAGCTTTACTCCCTATGACAATGGTTCTGCAAAAATAGTAATAAATATAGAAATGATTAAAAAATGATTTTGTAATTTAACTGATTAAGAAATTATCTGATTGACAATTGATCTTATCTAAAGGGTGTTAAGGTTTATTTCTTGCAAAACAGGAGAGAGAAAAACGATCTTATCTGAAGATAGTCATTTTTGTCAACGTAATCATTCTTGTCGAAGTTAATCACTGCAAAATGGACGATTATCTTCAAATTCAGCAATTAGTTGCTGCAACTCTACGGCACTACCAAATCTGTTTGAACTCTCGCATTGCCAAAAACGCTTTAAATACACGAATTATGTGGTTAGTTACACGTAACTCAAAAAGTTGACCATGTTCACAAAAATATATTATCGCTCGAACTGTTTGCAGTAAAGGTCGTTTTAGTTGAATATGTCAACACAGTACACAAAAGAAATGAATACAAGATGAGCAAAAATTAAGTTTTGGTAATATTATCCAACTATTTTACTTAACTGAAATACTCAAGTTTCGTCGATATAATCTGTGAAGCTGGTTGACTCGCAAATGATGGATGCTACAAACCTAAGACTTGAATCACGAGCTTCTGTAAATTGAAGAACCATAAGTGCGAAACCTTAAGGTCATTCAATTTATTTGACCTTTAATAAAAATTGAGAGGCCGTTTTCTGTTCAAAATTTTTCTTTATTGTTTTATAACATGTGCCATAACTCATGATCGCCAAAGGATATGAGTCTTTCCGTGTCCAGCTTATCAATTGTTTTTGAGAAAAATTTGGTTATCTTCCCAATGGTAAGAGTTATGAACATGTGACTAATATTAACCGATATGAAAATTTTGCTTTGTCAGGAAATGACCTCTGAATTCCAATTAGGGGTCTGATAACGGATTGACTTGAATGATTTTGAGCGATCGAGCTTATGATTTTTCAATCTACAGAAGCTCATGGTTCAAGTCTGCGGTCTCTAACATCCACTGTATCTGAGTTAGGGCTGCAAATAGGCATAAATGAATCATGTGCATTAGTCTGACAAGGGAAGTACCTCCGGTGTCTCAATAATTTTGGATCTGGACTATGTTCATTCGATAGAGCATAAAAAACTAGGATAAGGGTTTGTCGGCTTTAGATAGGAAACTTTCGGGTCACGAGAAAATTGAGGTCAAAACCCGCGAAACCCGCAATTCTTGCAAAAAATACAAAGTTTACCTAAATTTTTTTTTAACTTCAATTCATTTTCCGGGGTTTGCAGACCTGAAAAAATCAGTGGAAATATTTTGAACGCTATATAGTGTCTGCTTCTACAAATTTATTTGATTTTTCTGATTTTTATTGGAATAATCAATTTACTCTTATTTTGAACTTACTCATTATTAGCAGACATTATATAGCGTTTTAAATATTTCCAATGATTTTTTTAGGTCTACAAACCCCGAAAAATGAATTAAAGTTAAAAAAATTTTAGGTAAACTCTGTATTTTTTGCAAGAATTGCGGGTTTTGACCTCAATTTTCTCGTGACCCGAAAGTTTCCTATCTAAAGCCGACAAACCCTTATCCTAGTTTTTTATTCTCTATCGAATGAACATAGTCCCGATCCAAAATTATTGAGACACCGGAGGTACTTCCCTTGTGAGATAAATTCGGGAGATATGAAAATTTTTGTCACACATTAAATGCAACAATTAGATGAAAAATGATTATAATAACAAAATTTTCATAAAATTACTGCAGGTGGCGACACGAGAAATTCAGCTCAAATTTGTTTTTTGTTGATCCAAGAGTGACTCTTTACTAACGATGAAGACATAGTCGTCGATAACAAAATTTTAAATTTTCTTTAAAATATTCTAATGGTTCAGATATGTCACAGCGTATTGAATGTTGCATTCTAGTGAGATGTTAGGAAAAAGGTTTTCTAGACTTTTTCAACTTTAGGTTCAAAATCATCCAAGCACCGTTTTGTCCTGAATCAAAACACATTGAAGCCATGCGGCCAAGTTTATTCAATGGACTTCATCCCCAAGATATCCAGAAATTAATCAACAGAATAAAGAATAAGCTTGAAAAATTTGACTCTTAATTTTTAAAGGTTATTTTTATTTATAATACGATAATCCTAACATAACTTGCTCATATTTAATCATTATTTCATTCAGCTTCAAAAATTAGGAAATCTTTTAATCTGGAAAAAGTTCATTTTTAGTGCAAAGAAGGTAAATTATATAAACGAGAAACGAAAAAATTGAGTTCAGATCAAGAAATACCGCACGTTGGCATCAGGCTTCTGTAGGCTAGAATTGAACAACTTCAAGTTCATGTTTTCAAGATCATCCAACGTCGTTTGGTTATTTGGTTTATGAATGACATTTGAATGCCGTTCTCTGAAGTCAAAAACTATCTTATGCTAGTTAAAAGTTCATAACTCATGCTGTCAAAAAGATATGTGTGTTCAAGTATCGTTCAGTTAATCAAGTTTGGTTTGACTCAAATTGGTGTATCTCATTTTATCCAAAAAAATCGGATTTAATCTCTACAATATTCTTCTGGAATTATTGAAGAGATAAGATTTCCTCATAAAAATTTAAACAATCTCAATCCAGAGTTTCATAGATTCTTCCTTTGGAATTGTCGAAAACAGCTTTTGGTGATTTCAGATTGGAAATGAAACGAAGAGTAAATACTCCATGAAACATGTTGAATTACAATAAGGTAACAATTTTTTTATTGATTTCAAGTTATCATAATTTTTCGCTATAAGTTGAACAAAAATATATCAAGAGATGAAAGGTGAAGTCAATCAGTTAAATGAGTTGAATCAATCCAAAGACTCATGAGAATTGTGATAATCATTATGAATAATATTCATGTGACTGTACATAATAAGGTTTTATCTTGTGTCCATGTCAATGTAAATTGTATCTTCATTGGTTCAATTTTTTGTCCAAAAAAGAAGTGAACTTGCATTTGGTTGAATTTGATTGTTGGAAACAATCAAAGAGAAATAAAAATAAAACTTTTATCCATATCATGTATTATCATAATAACAAGAAGAAGAAGATGATGATGATAAGAGATTGTTCAATGTTCGAACTGAATCCAGACAATTTACC